TACATGAGGCAGCTCTGATGTTAAAACACTCAAGGTATTGAAAGACATCCTTCACAAATAAGTGAACAGTAATTGAACACAACAGACAGCTACCATAACTAAGGAATATGGCATAATCATCACATACATTAGGAATGGGACTAAACTGGAGACTCATTTCAGCATCTTCTAAATATTTGATATTTTATTACAGACCAGTCAGTCTCACCTCTGTGCCTGGCAAAATCTTGGAGCAGATTCTCCTGGAAGGCATGCTAAGGCACATGAAAAACAACAAGGTGCTTGGTGACAGCCAGAATGGCTTCACTAAGGGGAAATCCTGCCTGGCCAATTTGGTGGCCTTCTATGATGGGGCTACAGAACTGATGGAAAGGGGTAGAGCAGTTGGTGTCATCTACCTGGACTTGTGTAAAGTGTTCAACACTGTCCCACACAACATCCTTGTCTCTAAACTGGACAGACATCAATCTGATGGATGGACCACTCAGTGAATAGAGAACTGGCTGGATGGCCACATGCAGAGTTGTGGTCAATGCCTCAATGTCCGGCTGGAGACCAGTAACAAGTGGTGTACCTCAGGGATCAGTGTTGGGACCAGTCTTGTTCAACATCTTTGTTGATGACATGGACAGTGGGATTGAGAGAACCCTCAGCAAGTTTGCTGATGACACCAGGCTGTGTGGTTTGGTTGATACGCTGGAGGGAAGGAATGCCATCCAGAGGGACCTTGACATGCTTGTGAGGTGGGCTGATGCCAACCTTATGAAGTTTAACCATGACAAGTGCAAGGTCCTACACCTGCGTCGGAGCAATCCCAGACATACCTACAGGTTGGGCGGAGAAGAGATTCAGAGCAGCCCTGCAGAGAAGGACTTGGGGGTGCTGGTCGATGAGAAAGTGAACAGGAGCTGGCTTCAGTGTGAGCTCACAGCCCAGAAAGCCAACCGTATCCTGGGCTACATCAAAAGGAGCATGACCAGCAGGTTAAAGGAGGTGATCCTGCCCCTTTGCTCTCGTGAGACCTCACTTGGAGTAATGTGTGCAGTTCTGGTGTCCTCAACATAAAAAGGAGATGGATCTGTTGGAACAAGTCCAGAGGAGGGCCACGAGGATGATCAGGGGACTGGAGCACCTCCCGTATGAAGACAGGCTGAGAAGGTTAGGGCTGCTCATCCTGGAGAAGAGAAGGCTGCATGGAGACCTCATAGCAGCTTTCCAATATCTGAAGGGGTCATATAGGGATGCTGGGGAGGGACTCTTCATTAGGGACTGTAGTGACAGGACAAGGGGTAATGGGTTCAAACTTAAACAGGGGAAGTTTAGACTGGATATAAGAAGGAAATTCTTTCCTGTTAGGGTGGTGAGGCACTGGAATAGGTTGCCCAGGGGGGTTGTGAATGCTCCATCCCTGGCAATGTTCAAGGCCAGGTTGGACGAGGCCTTGGGTGAGATGATTTAGTGTGAGGTGTCCCTGCCCATGGCAGGGGGGTTGGAACTTGATGATCTTAAGGTCCTTTCCAACCTTAACTATTCTATGATTCCATGATTCTATATGGCTTAGTGTTCCTAATGTAGGCCAAATACATAAAACCAGCTCTAAACACAGGTTACATGCCTTATAGCAATCAGAACTCAACAGTTCTCACTTACTGACATCTGGGTCTAAGATTTACCCAGGAAATCAGGAACTATAATTGCATTAGAAGCCAGGATGCTGCAGCAAGCATTTCTGAACTACTAATTCTCACTGAAGGGATATTAAGAAGCTACTAAGACATGAAAGTAGCTTAAGTACTGTTAAGTCAACACTGTACATAATTTCGTTCATAACAGAGCTGAGACTGGAAATTTTCTTCCCTCTATGCATTCCACTTACATCCCCAGAAGTGTTACACCATATTAAACAGTATAAAAGGATGAGGAGGCCTCCTGTAATCCTAGGGTGAAATCAGTGTGCTCGGCTCGCTCCCTGAAATGTCTGTACGCCAATGCGCGCAGCATGGGAAATAAGCAGGAGGAGCTAGAAACCTGTGTTAAGTTGGGAGATTATGATCTGGTGGCAATTACAGAGACGTGGTGGGACAGCTCACATGACTGGAATATAGTCATGGAGGGCTATGTCCTTTTCAGGAAAGACAGGCCAGCAGCTACAATGCGTTGAGTTCTGTCCGGGGACAGATGATGAGTGAGTTGGGAGTCTGTGGGTGAGAATTAAGGGGCAGGCTGGCAGGGGCGATACTGTTGTGGGGGTCTGTTACAGGCCACCGGATCAGGGTGAGGAAGTTGACGAGGCCTTCTATAGGCAGCTGAGAGCGGCCTCACAGTCATAGGCCGTGGTCATCGTGGGGGATTTTAACTTCCCTGATGTTTGCTGGAAGGACTACTCGGCAACCCAGCCGCAGTCCAGGAGGTTCCTCCAGTGTATGGATGATAACTTCCTCATGCAAATGGTGGATGAGCCAACCAGGAGAGGTGCGCTGCTGGATCTCGTCCTCACTAACAAGGAGGGTCTGGTTGAAGGAGTGAAGGTTGAGGGCTGCCTTGGTTGCAGCGACCACGAGATGGTAGAATTCAGGATCTTGTGTGGTAGGACCAGTAGAACAGCAAGTAGAATCGCAATCCTGGACTTTAGCAGGGCAAACTTTGGCCTCTTCAAGCGATTGCTAGGGGAAATCCCATGGGCTAGGCTGCTTGAAGGGAAAGGGGCCCAAGATAGTTGGTTGAAGTTCAAGGACTGCTTTTTCCGAGCTCAAGATCGGAGCATCCCGACACGTAGGAAGTCAAGGAAGAGGATCAGGAGACCTGCGTGGCTAAATAGGGAATTGCTCGGTATGCTCAAGTGGAAGAGGAGAGTTTACAGGTCATGGAAGGAAGGGCTGGCCACTTGGGAAGAATATAAGGCTGCTGCTAGAGGATGTAGGAAAGCTGCTAGGATGGCTAAGGCCTCCTTGGAATTAAAGCTGGCGAGAGGGGTCAAGGACAGCAGAAAGAGCTTTTTCAAATACATGGCAGGTAAAACTAACACCAGAGGCAATGTAGGCCCGCTGATGAACGGGACGGGTGCCCTGGTGACAGAAGATACAGAGATGGCAGAGTTACTGAATGACTTCTTTGTCTCTGTCTACTCTGCCGGAGGCAGTCCTGAAGAGCCCTGTACCGCTGAGACCTCGGATGAAGATAGGTCAACGGAGCGGTCTGCCTTAGTCGATGAGGAATGGGTTAAAGACCAGTTGAGCAATCTGGATATCCATAAATCCATGGGTCCAGATGGGATGCACCCGCGGGTGCTGAGGGAACTGGCTAAGGTCATTGCTAGACCGCTCTCCATCATCTTTACCAAGTCTTGGGAAACGGGAGAGGTGCCTGAGGACTGGAGAAAAGCAAATGTCACTCCTGTCTTCAAAAAGGGCAAGAAGGAGGACCTGGGTAACTATAGACCGGTTAGCCTCACCTCCGTTCCTGGGAAAGTGATGGAACACCTTATCCTTGGTGCCATCTTAAGGCATATCAAGGATAAGAGCGTTATGAGGAGCAGTCAACATGGCTTCACCAAGGGGAAGTCGTGCTTGACCAATCTTGTAGCCTTTTATGAGGAAATAACACGGTGGATGGATGATGGTAGAGCGGTGGATGTGGTCTACCTTGACTTCAGCAAAGCGTTTGACACGGTCTCCCACAGCATCCTTGCGGCTAAATTGAGGAAGTGTGGTCTGGATGATCGGGTAGTGAGGTGGACTGTGAACTGGCTGAAGGAAAGAAGCCAGAGAGTTGTAGTCTATGGGGCGGAGTCTAGTTGGAGGCCTGTATCTAGTGGAGTGCCTCAAGGGTCGGTACTGGGACCAGTATTATTTAATATATTCATCAACGATTTAGATGAGGGAATTGAGTGTACTATCAGCAAGTTTGCTGATGACACTAAGCTGGGAGGGGTGGCTGACACGCCAGAAGGCTGTGCTGCCATCCAGAGGGACCTGGACAGGCTGGAGAGCTGGGCGGGGAATAACTTGATGAAATATAACAAGGGAAAGTGTAGAGTCCTGCGTCTGGGCAGGAACAACCCCAGGTTCCAGTATAGGCTGGGGAACGACCTGTTAGAGAGCAGTGTAGGGGAGAGGGACCTGGGGGTCCTGGTGGACGACAGGGTGACCATGAGCCGACATTGTGCCCTTGTGGCCAAGAAGGCCAATGGCATCCTGGGGTGTATTAGAAGGGGGGTGGTTAGTAGGTCGAGAGAGGTCCTCCTTCCCCTCTACTCTGCCCTGGTGAGACCTCATCTGGAATATTGTGTCCAGTTCTGGGCCCCTCAGTTTAAAAAGGACAGGGACCTGCTGGAGAGAGTCCAGCGCAGGGCAACTAAGATGATTAAGGGAGTGGAGCATCTCCCTTATGAGGAAAGACTGAGGGAGCTGGGTCTCTATAGTTTGGAGAAGAGGAGATTGAGGGGTGACCTTATTAGTGTATATAAATATATAAAGGGGGAGTGTCACGAGGATGGAGCCAGGCTCTTCTCAGTGGCAAACAATGAAAGGACAAGGGGTAATGGGTACAAATTGGAGCACAAGAGGTTCCACTTAAACCTGAGAAGAAACTTCTTCTCAGTGAGGGTGACGGAACACTGGAACAGGCTGCCCAGGGAGGTTGTGGAATCTCCTTCTTTGGAGACATTCAAAACCCGCCTGGACACGTTCCTGTGTAACCTTATCTAGGTGTTCCTGCTCCGGCAGGGGGATTGGACTAGATGATCTTTTGAGGTCCCTTCCAATCTCTAACATACTGTGATACTGTGATACTGTGATAAGGAAGAAATACCGAAGAGGAAAATAGCCAATAAGATATATACTTTCACAAACATTGCCAGCAAGTTCATAACACAAAAATGAGCATAAGAGAAAACATAAGGTCTTTAGGCTCACACCATTTATTCAGTTCACAGGTCAAAGAAAAGCAAGCAACACATAAATAACTCATCATCACAAGAGGAAACATCTTATTGCCTGGTACCCACATTCATCTTTAGCAAAACTCCTTAAAATAGAAAAGGCAAACTAAAACCGCATCAAAGTATTTGTGTATTCCCAACCCTAAGTGACTGCAGAAAAAAAAAAAAAAAACAAAAACAAAACAAAAAAAAAAAAAAACACAAAAATAGTTTGAGAAAGAATATGGAATCAGGAAATACTTAACTGTATCTAAAAACATCAAAATAGTTAATTATCAAGCTTCCATCATCATGCACTCACAACGCTAAAACAACAGCACTCATCACTCAGCAACTAACAAGCCAACCAATATTTGCATTTTTCAACACCTCTGTTCAAAGACCAAAGTTTACTGCTACCATGTCATGGCAGGGTACATAACCCCCAACAACCTACTCACTCTGCATTTGGATAACACTACAGATCACCTTCATAAATCAGTACCTTTTCTTTCTCAATCCCACAGGTCATGTGAGTGCTTGAGGGAGATGGAGCAAATGGCTTTTCCCACAGCCTGCCCAGGATTTATGCCATGCCTGGGCACCACAAGGCATAGAAACAACTAAACCCACTGCATCCAGGTTTCACACACAGCCTTTTAACAATATGCACAAGCAAAATTTAAGCCTACTTTTGTAGTTTATAGGTTACCTCAGACAAAGGTACACAAAGCAGCTCTTACCTGCATGGCTCTCCTCCTGACACGCACACTTCTGCCCACCCCTGGCACAGGCCTCACCTGCCCATTGATAGCTGGCATCTGGTGAAGCAACAGGATAAAAGAAAACACTGGCAAAGGGAGCAGTGTGCTTTTCTCCCTGGTCTGCTGTGGGTAGGGAGCACCTCAGGCTCATTTTGCCCATGGAAATAAAAAGCAAAGCGAGGGCAGTGTTTCCTCCCCCTTGGTTGAGCTGCAGCAGCAGTAGGGCTCTTTGTGGAACTTTGATCTCCTCAGGCAGGAGAGCAGCTTCAGATGCCTCTTTGCCCTTCAGAATCTGCTTTCAGCTCCCAGGTTTCCCCTCAGCAGCTCTGCCCAGCAAGGTGAGCGCAGCATCCTGCTCCTCTTCCACCTCTGCTGCCTCCGGTGCATGGCGCTAGGGAAAGTACCATGCTGAAACACAGCTATGATGTTGGTACACTGCAAAAAGAAGTTGTGTGACCCAGAACACTCATTTTAAATGAGAAAATCATTTCCTCTTGCCTTGGTTACTCAAACTTTGCCAGACCACTGCAGAATGACTACAGCTAAACATTTTCATTTACTTCACATACAGCATTTAAGTTCAAAGCAGGTCAGAATAGCACTGATGTTTGTCTGAAAAACACTTTAAATTCAATTTTTCTGTCAGAAAAGTAAATCCAGCTGAAGATGTAAGAGCGCAAAATGAAAACTACAGAGCCTTTGAAATATACCACCACATGAGCCCTGAGGATGTCTAAATCAACAGCAGTACTGATGGTATGAAAAGCATTCAGCAGTTCAGCTCTCTGGGCCATATGTCAGCCTTAGCTACAGATGAAAGTTATCTTTCCTTTTTCTACTTGATAACCGGAGCAGGATTCTGGTTAAAATCTCATCTGATATGTTTTCTTCTTTGTAAAACATGATGTAGGCTGTGAGTGAGTACTGCACAACTAAGTAGTTTGGAAAATAAACAGCACATTGATCAAAGAATGCACTGAGAGTGATTTTGTGTCCACAAGATGCCTCCTGCAGGCCCCTGATGCTGGCCACACTTCCTATTTATTCCCATCCTCAGGTATAAAATGAAGTTTTGAAGACCGGGAAAGAGGTAGCAAAGCCTCAGCCTTATCCTGTTCCACACAGCCCTGCCCTCCACACATAGGTGGTTGCTCTGAGGAGAACACACCTCCAGAAGCTCACAGGTGACTGGAAAATAAGCAGTGAAAGCAGCTAAGTGTGAATTCAATCTCCCTCCTTCACTGTTCATAACCCATGGCCTGGCTCCATTTGCACTGCAGCACTCACACTCCCACCCCTGTGGAGACACCTTCCCTAGGGCAGAAAGTCCCTGGAACACTGCTTTAGGTCAGTGACAGGCAGACCAACTGCCCTGTACTGTGCCTCAACCACAGTGGCACTTCTGCCATGAGGGAAACCATGTCACCTGCTTCAAAATGCAGTAGGACTTCAGTATTTACCTGTTCAAAGTTCAGTTTGCCTTCCTTCCCCCTGTATGGGGCCGCACATCGCCATGACTCTGTTCTTGTACACTGCCCAGTACTGTGAATGTTTGTTAAGGACCACTGGCCTTCTTAATCAACTTAAAATTGAGCATACCTTACCCAAACACCTCACTGAAGGAGAAATGAGTATTTTTATTTGTCTGTAATCATATTAAGGCCACTTCCAAGAGTCTGCAAATAGCACGTCAATGAAAGGAGTATCTAAACGACTCTAAGCTGCTCAGAAATTTCTTCAGGAAAATAAATCCAAAGCTCATAGTTCAGTTAGCTGGCAACATTCTACAGGGCTTGGATTTTTGTGCTTAGTTGTGGGCTTTTTTCTGTATTTAAATGAAAGAAGGTTTGAACAGTATTTCCTTTGTGTACAGGCATGATGAGTTTAGAACTTTGGGGTTTTATTTTTCTCTAATTTCACACCAGTAAGGTTACTAACTTAAACCTAATTGTCTTGAAAAGTAAACATCCACAGAAATGCCCCACTTGCATCCAAACACAGGTGTTGTTTTTTGCCTTGGTTACCTCCCCTACATTTCCATTTTACACATGAAATCAGAGGCTCAAGCAGACTCCTAAAATGGCAACTAACACCCCTTTTTCTTCTACGTGACTCATTTCTGTTCTTCACAGCACAGGTACATACCTCTTTCACTCTTTATTCCCTAAGGATACTTACTTTTAGCACCTTTCCCATAACATGCAGGCATTATGGATTATGTGCACAAGTGCCAGCTTTCCACCCATGGCTGGAGTCCACTGCAGGACCAAGCAGAACCTGACCAATCCCTGTGTGTGCCAGAGCAGTGCTGCAGCTTCCCAGTCCCTGTCTTTGAAGAGAGATATTTTATACCTTGACAGGTAACTCTTTAGCGAAGTTCATCTCAAAACCTCAACTTCAAGCGTTAAAAAAGAAAAACCCTTAAATGATACAAGTTATTACATTTAGTCCCTTTGGGGGAAGTGGGGAATGATTTTGTGATTAAGGACCTACAGTGGGGCTCAAGAGAATTAGTTCAATTCCAGGCTCTGAAACGAGCTTCCAGATTCCACTGGGGAAGCCTATGCAATCTCCTATCTCACACGGACAGCAGCAGGATAATTTATGAGTGCAACTAGCCCTCAGAGGTTGTAGTATCAACAGCCAAGTAAATGCAAAGGTAGGCTGCAATCATTTTGAGCACTAGTTAACTATCCAGAGAAGGCACTAGCATTAGACTATTACTTACAATAGAAGTTACATAGAAAACAGGTATTAGAGGGAGTCTTGAAAAATAGCAAGTTCTATTACTTACCCTTGGGTTGACAGCTAGCTCCTAATGGTTTTACCTAATGCATTAGTGAAAATGAATGAATGAATGAATGAATAAATCAATGAATTAAAAAGCTGCAAGGTAAAAATAAGTTGGCAGGTCTTGCAGAAAGACACTACTTTGTTCTGAAGCACAGCACTATATTCCACATTTTTCATTACAGGGAAAATTTGCTCTATTTAATTCTATAGCTGGTATTGTTTCTTGGCGAAACCGAATTTATGAATTGATTTAATTCATAAAATGAACAAATTAAGCAATGAAAACTCATCTGACAGATGAGTTAGGATAAAGTCAAAAAAGCGCCGTCAGAAAAACATAATACTGAAGTCACCGTGTAACCCTCTAGACAGCAAAGTGCTCCACTACATAATCCACCATGAAAGCATTAGCCTGTCTTGAAAAAAAGAGCAAAAATATTTAATTTCTGTGACATACCGATAAGCACACATTAGAATTTGTTATTCATCACCAACAGAAATTTTCTCCTGCAGTTATGAAAGCAGCTGTCATACACACCAGAAATATCTAAAATAAAAATTACTTCCCATTTTTAAGACACCACAACCATTTTAGAATTTTACTCATTTCTGAAAAAGTACAGTGAGTATTATAGCTGCAACACCTACAATGTATTTAATGCATCACAGAAGTTACTTTCAGTCATTTAATGTGTGCTTCATATACATCTAAACCACCTTCCCCATGAAAGTAATTGCCTTTCAGAATGCGGAAAAATCCAGTTTTTGATCAGCATTCATGTTCAATCTATAAACAATAACTTAACCTTCATAGTAAGTATTTTTGCAGAGTGCCTACCATTTATTTTGCATGTATTAAACCCAAAAATAGTTGATATTCCACTAGAATGGTTAAGTATATTTTTTAAATCTAATTGATCAGTCTGTACGTAACTACCTATTAAAGTGGTTCTTCACATTAACTTGCTTGACTGCTTTTCAAACTACAGTTATTTCAAGATTTTCCTTAACTTTTCCACTATTATAACTTTAAGTTATAATGAAAGTGAAAACGGTTGAAAACATAAACCAATCCCAAGTAAATTCAATATTCACGAGATCAATATAAAACTGGTTCAAAGGTGTCAGTTATTAGGTGAACAAGCAACACCAACAATTCTGGTTGAGGCTAAAGTTAATCTGTTCACTTTTCTGTCTCCAAAGGTAAAAGCAAAAATAATTGATGACCTTTCATGAATTTAGAGATATTCCATCCCTCCCATTCAACATGCATCAAAAGCCAGGTCTAACCAGACCTGCCCATTCTACCTTGAATAGCCAGATGTAAATTCAACCACAAGTGAAATTGGTGACAACTGCATAAAACAGGTAACTTTATTTTGTGATTGTTTAGCAGTATCTAATTTAAAATTACAAAGGTGCAGCACTGACACTCATCAACATTTTTTTTAATAGAAAAGCCGTCTTAAATTTTTCAGAAGTTCTCATAGGACTGCAACAGAACCTTCTTAGGTTCCCCATTGGTGCTGTACTTGGCTAACATGAAGAGCTGCAAGAAAATACAACAAATACTACAAGATAGTTGTAGTTTCTCTATCTGGTGACCCTCCCCGCATCTGCTTGTATCTAAAAATCAGTTCCACTCTTCCATCAGTGAAAGGTTAATTGCCATCTCAACATTTCATTTTATGTATAATCAAACCCAATGATTTGCTATAAACTTTTGATTGTTTAATATCCTCAAAGGTAACCTAACATCGAAGTTCTCACTTCAGTGCCAAAATGAAAAAAAAAAAAGAAAAAAAAGCAAGCAGCTCTTGCAGGCTCTGTAGATAGATTATCATTATCATTAGCTGTAAGAGATACCAGTCACTATGGGTCTAATCCTCTTTTAACTTTGTGGAGAAAGTTGTTTTCAGTGTCACATGTTCCTTTCTCCATGCCTTACATCTACAAAACCAAAGGCAAACCTACAAAAGAGCTGGTTAGCTCTCCTACAGGCCAGAAGGTACAGAAGATATCTCCCTCCCAAGGTCTGCATCTTCTCCAGCTGCCTTAGAAATCAGGCCTTCTTTCTCTCTCCATGTAAAAAAAATATTTGAATCTGGAAGTATGCATTATTATTTTTATTTCACATCTACAGCAGTATTGATTTTTTTCTACCTATTTTAAGTTCTAAGTATTCCAATTATAATTTACATTATTGATTTTCTACCCTGAATAACATTTCATTTTGCTTGATAACAACAGCAACAGCCACACAGGCATCTATGTGCTAAGTACCTTCCTTATGAAAAAGCCAAAGAAACCTACTGAACTTGTACATTTTAGAAACTCATATTTAATTATTCCAATATAGAAACAGGATCCTTCAGGCTGAGTCTGGCTTAAAGACAGCCAGCCATGGTTTTCATTATTTAAACAAAATAAAGTTTCTGGCTAGAATAGATACATTGTTGTCAGCATCATGAAAGTTTTAACTAGAAATTACAGTTATTAAAGCAAGCAGCTACAGAGCTTTGTCACTCTCACCTGGCATTGGTGAAAGGACAGGTGTCCATCCAAGCAGTGAGCATTTTGCAGGTTGATATCAAAAATACCCCACAAGTCCAAATCCTTTAGCAGGTGCTGAAAGAAGAGGTGGAAGATTATCTTTGCATCTGACAGTCATGTTTGGAAATGGTTTTTGGTTTTCTATTGAAACTGATTTAAAACAAACAGTGAAATCTGCTTTTGTATGCACAGGACAGTCTCTACTGTGAGGTTCTGAAAACACCAGGCTTGAAACATGCCAGTTACCCAGATGAAAGCTGGTATAGAAATGGGAACTGTGGACAAAGTAGTTACACCACACACCAACAGCTACAAATGCCTTAGTCCTTACCATTCCTAGTGCCCTACTTCAAAAGATGTACAACCACTGAGCTATAAGTATAACCTTTCTGTTCATGTTTAACAACAGAGCATACTGGCCTGCAGTGTCACTAATCTTAGCATGAGCACACTATAAAGTAAAACTTTTCCTGATATTAATGTTAGCTGCACACACAAGTTAAATCACAAACTGACAAATGAATTACAATTTGTATGGAAAGTTAAAGCCAGATTTTGAGCTATTTTTTCATGACAATCATATTACATGTAATCTGAGTCTGGTTCTAAGCAAGGACTTAATCCATGACCATAATGTAGGTCACTAGTTTTGATACAGTTTGTGCCTAGTATCCATTCCAAGAAATCAGACCCAGGACTAATATCAATAGCTGTCAAGAGTGTACATGTGGTTTCTTTTTACACTGTCATTTAATAAAAGAAAATAATCCAATTAAGCAGCGTCATGATATTTTTTGCTGATTTCCCTATTTCAATCATTAAAGCAGTATTTAATTTATAATAAAGCACCATACTCTAATCCTATGCACCCAAGAATATTGATGTTTAAAGCCTGAACCGCCCTCGCCGTTTCTGCTGTCCTTTTGGTTTTCAGTGAGCTTCAGTAACTCAAAAGATATGCAACCAACTTGGTAACTAAAAAAGAAAGCTTTGTAGAATGGGAAAGTTCACAATGGGAGGAAAAAAGCCTTTCTAAAATAGCCAGGTGTTCACCTCAACCCATACCAACTTCAAACAGATGCAAGGACAGTAGTTGAATCTGATTTCAGACTAAGGACATGAAAGATGAGCTTTATATTCTTACACTTTTATAATGTTAGAATGAATTCTTTTTTAGATAAAGAATACCACACTCCCTTGCTCTCCTATTCTTTCACATAAAGTTTGCTCTGAAAATAGCATGGCTGAGTTAAGTCTTTCAAGTATCATTTGATCACTGCCAAATATTTGCAAGTTTGGATTTTTCCACATCCCACCCCCTACTTGTTCATGTAGTATCTGCTAGGTTTTGTTCTACTTCTATGAGTAAATGTACTGTGGGAAGTGATCAAGTCAGTCATTGAAACACAATGAATTACTTTGAAATACAAAACTGAAGTAGTATTGTAAGAAGTGCTCCTGACGGTCTACCACCCAAATGAAGGTTTAACCTGAGGAAGGGATGACTGGCTTAAGAAAGCAATCCTGCTTGGCAGCAGCAGAGGTGGAGGTTTACTTAAAGTATAGGTGGCAATGCTTATGCATAACCTTGCATCCTCACATTGACTTCAACTTCACTTGAAGGATCAGTTTGTTCAACAAGACTTAGTCTAAATGAACAAAAGTAGTAAGCCATTCTTATGCACAGACATTCTAAGTCTGTAAATTACATATGTGGCTGGGTTTGTTGTTGGGGTTTTATGTGTATGTGTGTGTTGTGTGTTTATGGGTTGTTTTTTTTGGTGTGGTTTTTTTTTTTTTGGTTTGGGATTTTTTTTTCAGAAATGTTCTAGATTTTATACTTTAGGTAAGTTTATACACCGTTATATTAAACCAGGAGTTGCATTACACTTAACAGACTGATGGATATCACTAACTTAAATTCATTTATGTGTGCAGTATTACTAAAACTTAAATACTCAAAAGCATTAACAGATGATGAAATACTTATTTTGCAACCACAACTTGTGAGAGAGCAATTGCCCGTTAGAGGACCTGTGTATATGTCCCTGTAACAGGTCTAGTTCTGTGAGGAATAAAAGCACCCTACTTCATTATGCACATGCCTATTAATACACACACTGGCATTATATACATGAACTTTTCATCTCTAGTGCCTATCACTTATTTACAGATTATTTACATGGAATGCACCCAGACTTATTTTATCAGCTTAAAAGATGCTTGAAGTTGTATTTCAGTGCAATCATGTCTTTTCTGCTCTTCGCATTGTCACTTACTGAGCTCAACTCCACCCAATGCAAGTATTTCCCCACACTTAACAGAAATGTCTAATGCCCAGAGACACACTCTCAGCTCCCATGCTAGGCAGTCATCTACCAGATCATCTGCCTTCTGTGAAACCCTGGTACACTCCTGTTGCTCATGCTCAGCAAATGTATTCCCAAAAGCTTTAACTAGAAGAGCCAGAGCATCCTCCACAGGCATGCTATGAGGCACCACAAAGATGGAATAGCTGGCTTTAACAAGCTTGTGTTTTCATCTACTTCACACATTTACAAAAAGGTAGAAAAACATAGCTGTTAAGTTTGCGCAATATAACTGAGGCAAATTTTAAAAGCCTTCAGTTCAATATTGATATAGCCCTTCTGTAGATGCAGAGATTAATTTTGATTTAGCACCAGTACATAAACTTCCTTTGAAATATAAATGAAAAGCTGTAATTTCTCCTTCTCACTGTAAAAACATTACTGGTAATTCATAATCTAAAGCTATAACTGGAAAAGATTCCCAATTCCATACAAAGACTTTCACAAACATCTACAGCTGAAATAAAATGATTAGAACAGATTTCCACCCCCCAACCCCACCCCTCCCCCTTAATTTCAGCATATCTTTTACCTAACTAGAGAAGAGGGCACATACTTTCCCTTCAGGAGAAGCTGCCTTTTTACTATTGTGTTCTTGATACAAGATGCAAAATTTGTGAATTTATAATAAAAGGTTCTGAAACAAATGCAGGTAAAAACTTTAAAAACAATTGTGATTCATGTACATAGAATCAATGCAAGACATGGAAATTTTAATTAAGCAATTTCTATATAACTATCATTAATTACTGTATACGGCAATTTCTCCCATGCATTTTATGTCATTTAAGCAGCAATCCAGGACAAATATTTAATCACTCCATGCAATATGAATTATTACAACTTCAGTGAACTATTTCAAAGCCGTCTCATTTTAACTAGGTCAAATCTGTTACCCAGAAGTGCAATGAATCAGCATTTAAGATTTCAGTGGGTTAAAAGAAATTTAAACTGCAATTCTGAATGGGGACTGTTTTAAGTGACATCTCTCAAACAAGCATAACTTTCTTTTGATAGAAGAATGAAACATGATTACAGTGCACAAGAGAAATGCTAAATTGGGCTGTTCTAGAATACAAAACCATTATTAACTTCTTGGAGTGCATGTGTGAAACCTAACTTATGTAAGGTATATTATTTCCACTATGACACCAGGTTCTTATAACTGATTGCCCATAAGTCTAGCACATTGCCCTGGAGAAAAAGAGAAGTTGGCTATATGCAAATAAAAATCTGTCATTGTTTCCTGTTGCTGTGCTCTTGCCATTTTGTATGTGCCAAATGCAAAAGGATCAAGTCCAGTGTTGTGAGGTGTAAAAAACCCCAGAAAACAGTGTGCTCATTAATCAGATACACTTTCTACATCAGGAAGTAACTGTGATCTCTGTTTTAAACCACACAGAGAAAAATGCAGTTAGCAGTTCTTGCCTCATCGTATCTTAGTGCTAGATTTGAGTGACATACTCTAATTATTGAAATAATTTCTATTTAACATTTGATTTTATATCAACATCCTCGTATACTGGGAAATACTTGACTGAAAACAATATGAACTATTACACTGACATTAGTGTAGTTTTGTTAGTAGCCTGTTTCTTGAAAAAGCACTGAAGATACAAGGCACAAAAGTTAACAGTAGTGATCCATATGTTCTCAGGATAAATGCTACACAGTATCCTTTAAGGATTTTACAGATATCTTGATTTTAGTCTTTTAGACTTGTAAGATCACATTTCTTACTGATAGCAGGTGAAGAGGTGAAAGTCACAAACTCCACTTGCTTCACCAACAAGAAAGCTTGCTAACATTGATCCTGAAACTACAAGCAGGAAAGTAGCCAGTCAAGGAAGAACTATGTCTTTTTCATATCCTATAGTACACATACTCATTTTTTAAACAGTTCTAACAGTATTTCATTTACATATTAAAGCAACACACTTGGGCTTGAACAAGTGAAAACAAATTGTTTTGTCAGCTTCGATTACTTTTAATTGCTTAAAAAAATTAAAAGTCAATTTACAACTTCCTCTGATTATCCCACATGATATTTGCATTTCAGGCACATTAATCAACCCAGCTGCAGCAGCTCTAGTTCCTCCTATCTGAGTCTTGAGTCTCTCTACTACTGACCAAACATTTAAATAGACCACTAAACTATGATAGTGTCAAAGACTTTCCAACGGATAATTCCAACTGTACTACTATATTTCTGCAACACTCCATGAACTGAAACAGAAAAATCTCTGCGGTAGTCCCAGTCATATCTGAGTATCAGAAGGGGGGTATGTCAAATACAGAGGTCAGTGAGGAGGGAATTAAACATTTCATTTACAGTGCCAGAATTTAATACAAAGAAAGGCAACTGTCTCAGCTTAAAATAATTTTATTGATTCTGTTGTTAGGTATGTGAAGGCAGAACATACTACCTACATTTCCTATAAGTTTCAAAGGAATTAAATGCATAGGGAATCAATATCAGTAACAAATTTGGTACAACACACTTTGCTACAGGGAGGAGGAAAGAAACAAAAGTTAAAATATCAAAGCAGTAATAAGGAAGTCAAAGGAGCTATCGTTTAGATTTCCAGTTCTCTAGATAGTCCTTTAACAAAAAAAAAAAAGAAAAAAAAGAATTTTGTGTATTTGAGTGGTTAAGATGTACATATTCAAGTGGTTAAGATCTATGTATTCAAGTTGATCCAGCTTGCCTCCAGAAGATAAGCAGCAATATAATGGAAACTAGCTCTTCCAGGATTAAACACTTGTGACAGAAGTATGTCTTCTGTTTAACAGAATGTTATTCTAATAATTCATTTTTCCTAAGTGTTCTCCTAGTACTAAGAACTAAAGAATAGACTAAAAGTTCTGTGCATTTTAGAGTCTTCTTTATATAGCCAACTTCAATTTTTCCTTCTGTTGGCAACTGTGAATCTTTCCCATTAGAAAGGTATTTGCCATGCATCAAACCCTGCAAAGATTACGCAGGCAACAATAGTATCTGAAACTACTTTTAGTATGCCTAGATTAAGAGACCATAAAATATATCCAAATGCTGCAAGATGGTCTTTAAAGCAGAAAAGAATTAAGATCAGACTTGAGTAATTTTTTTTTTAAAGAACTTAAACAGTCCCTTGTGTCTGTCATACTCCAAAGCCTGGGAGATACATAAGAAATTTTAGGACTAACTGTAAGTACTAAGGAGATCCAGAAACATTAAATAGGCATGATCTTCAGATATTATCTACATATTTGTAGGGTCACATTTCTGAACTGGGTTACACTTACCCATGTAATTACCATTTCTGTAATAGAATTAGCTGAAAAAATCTTAATAGAAACCTACTTCTGCTCCTTGCTGATGGCAACAGTGACAGTCAGAAGGTCTCATTCTTTCTGCATCTGTTGATAGAACTGCAAGTAGAGCTTCTCTCTACAATCATCCCTAGTGCAGTCACCTGCAACCAAGTGAAAAATCAATTAAGCAACAGCACAGACTGCAAAACTGTATTAGAACATCACGGAGTCTTCACTACTTTAGCATGTAACAATACTGTCAAAAATGATACAAACAGTTCTTCGAAGCTAGGTTGTTTTTTTCCCCTCCCTTTTCTTTTTCCCTGAGGAAATCTGTTACAAACAAGGCATAAGAAACATCATTAAACTCAGCTTCAGAGTTCTCAGAATTAATCTGAGAACAGCCCATTCATCTACATGCTGCTACATTTACACCATTCATTAGCTTGTTTAGAAGTAATGGGATAAACAACTTCTTTAGCTAGTAACGGAAAAAAATTTCATGAATAATCTTCTCCACCCTGAAGGGAAGTACCTGTGAGGATGGAGGCACAGACCCCGAGGTAGAGTGCAAGCTGGATCATTTATTGCAAAGATTACACAATATTTATATGCTTCCAAGCAATTAGCCAAGCACATCTGTGTTTGCCTTGCGGTTACATCAGGTGAAAGGTCTATCAGATTTTCTTACCGACATCCTCTTCCCAGTTCCGACGTCCTTGTTCCTTGCCAGTTCCAGCATCTTCCAAGTACCAGTCAGGGACAGGTCACTCTTAATTGCCTGCTGTGGTTCTTCCTTCCTATGGTCTCTGACAGTTTTGATACATTCCAACCCCCACAGTTCCCCCATCTTGTTTTTGCAATGCAGTAAACATGTCTTTCAAAAGCTTGGGATAACATTTGCTGCATACATTGTAATAAGCAAGGTACAATGTATATGATGGTGAAGAGAGCAAGCAAAAAGATCAACCCTCCCTTAACCAAAGTCAATAGCCACCCAGTTGTAACCCAATTAGAGAAAAGTGATGATAACCAATCTTTATCATCCTCCCTTAACTTCATTACACTGTCTTTTAATTTACGGATACTGTCATGTATTGATTCTGAGTGGTTTGACAAATTCATGCAACACATTCATTCCAAAATTTCACACCCATGTCCATGTGCTAAGAGGCAAAAATCGATTGCTGCTCTATTTTGCAAAGTCATGTGTCTAATACTCAACATCAGTGAGCAATGCAGAGAGAGCGGATGCTGTAGCATTAGTTTGCTTAGCAAGCCAACATCCTAACTTATTCAATGTTGCTAAGGCTTGGGCGCTAGCTACTCCAGGAGCTAAAAATGAAGCAGCTATTATTTCATCTGTGTTCCAAAAATTTACCTTGTCATCGCAGCTCAGTTGAAAAGCCCGCGTTGACCTTCGAGAACACAATCCTCGTTTATTCATTATCATGGTGTTATTTGGGATGAACATGCCTAGGGTCCCTACTGCACATGGGCTGCCTTTTATATGGGATGGTACCCCTCGCCAAGCCCGATCTTGTGGCAACTGAGGCACAGACTCTGTTTCTGGCTGCAAACAAAATCCCTTATTGAGTGAGCTTACAGGTTTTTATAGTATACTGCTTAGCAGTTAGTAGCAGTTAGTTCCTTTGGTACTTTTCCACCACAAAACAATCTTATTGATCACTTACTCTTTCAGCCAATCACATTACTGTCCACTCACCTTTGCTTAATTATTTCTAAACATAGTTCTTTGCTATCACTACTCATTACATTGTCACTTTCACTTCCCCTTGACTACACATTCTTTATCTTGTCTTAAGCATCCCCCTCTTTCCAAATTTACAGTCCTCAGAAATTATCTTGATGCTCTTTCTTCAGTTCCACCCGATGTTCTTTCTCCAGTTCTTTCACCGGTTCTTCCCCACTTGTCCATTCACCTCTCCCAAGGTTTGTGGCTGATGGGAGTCCAGATGTCCGGGCTCTCATCCAGGTCTACTTGTGCAGCTTCTTGTGCAGCATTCCCCAAATCTCCCTCTTCTTTATAAACGAACAAAACATTGTTAATAGAATTAGCAATCAAACAATTTATACAAGCAATTAAACAAGAAACTGTGATTAAAACATATAAAAAGATTTTTACACAGGCTACTGCGATTTTAATAATGTCTTTCAAGCATGCACTGATGCCCTACTCTGACAGCAAACTTCTTAGCCAATTCCAGCTACTCTCCACCCACAACATATGAACTCCTTTAGGTTTTGAATTGCCTCGTGGACAGACTCAGAATGATCAGACAGGTTCATGTAACACATTCTAGCAAAGTCTTTACAACCATGTCCTTGAGCTAACAGCAAAAAATCTATGGCAGCTCCATTCTGAAGGGTAGCATGTTTGACTGAATCGTTATCTGTTAACAGACCATTGCTGTGGGTGAAAAACCTCCTGAGCACAGGCTGGGTTTCTTCCCGCCTCTCACCGGGAGGAGCGGACCCCGCGCCACTCCGCAGCGCGCATCTTGGCGGGCGCAGCGCGTACCCGCGCCTGCCGGAGCACACAAAGGCGAGGGGCGGGCGAGCACCACAGCCCTCTGCCCGCGGGCAGACAATGGGGGGAGCCCGGCTGAGCCTGCTGCTGCCGCCGCCGCCGTGCGAGTGAGTGAGGCCGCGGCAGCGGGGGGTGGAGGCGGCGCGCCCGTGCTCCGCAGCTCCTTGTCCCGCTGCCACCAGGCGCAGCCCCTCTGCCGGAGGGGAGCCCCCCCGCAGCCTCCGCTGGGCTCCCGCGGGAGCGCGGTTTTCTTCCCCGCCGTCCAGCCCGCGGTTCGCCCCGTGACGGACAGGATGTGGAGCGTTCAGGTCGTGGGGCAGGTTCACAGCACCTTGATTTTCTGCTTCTTTTTTAATGTTTTTCCACGTATCATGAGGGTCAGGCTGGTAGAGGCAGGGTTCTCTGTCAGGGTCGACTGGTCCGGGAGCAAAAGGGTCATCTTTGTCTAGCTCATTTGCTGTTGCAGCCTGCCGGCGGATATCTTCCCACAGATCGGTAAGTGCGGGAGGATGTGGGAGCACCAGCAAAGCTTGCGCCTCACGACAGCAAATGCCAGCATCAGGCGGGAATAGATCTGGCTCAGTTTCTGGGACTATCGGCCCCGGGTCGAGAGGATCCGGAGTGTTGTTTGCAAGAACAGAAGGGGTTGACTGTGCCGACCCTTCCTGTACTGCCCTGTCAAGTGCCTCATAGACTGAGCACCATACAGCCAGAAATTTGGGTGCTGCCACATCATCACTTGTGGCTGCATCCCAAAGGTAGACCCCAATCTTGTTCCATACTCCCTTCTGGTAAATATTAGTTGATGTCACCTCTGGGGCATGGGCTGAGGCCCGTATTAATAAGTCTTTCAGTTTATCCGTATTAATAAGTCTTTCAGTTTATCTGTATTAATAAGTTTTTCAGTTTATCTTCATTTGCAGTAACCCCCTTCTTCGCTAGGAATTTTACTAGTACTCTGTACACTGATTTGTGCTCAGGGGATACTGAGTTTCCCAAGTTCCCGTTCCCAGCCGCTCACCTCAGTCAGAGGTATCAGTTAAGTGCTGCAGCCTTTTGGAGTTCGGCTGGGTGTCCTCACCGGTCACCGAGTCACGGCTCTCTGTCTTGTCCCTGTTTGGGCACCATTTGTGAGGATGGAGGCACGGACCCAGAGGTAGAGTGCAAGCTGGATCATTTATTGCAAAGATTACACAATATTTATCTGCTTCCAAGCAATTAGCCAAGCACATCTGTGTTTGCCTTGCGGTTACATCAGGTGAAAGGTCTATCAGATTTTCTTACCGACATCCTCTTCCCAGTTCGGACGTCCTTGTTCCTTGCCAGTTCCAACATCTTCCAAGTACCAGTCAGGGACAGGTCACTCTTAATTGCCTGCTGTGGTTCTTCCTTCCTATGGTCTCTGACAGTTTTGATACATTCCAACCCCCACAGTACCTATGTATTTTTTGCCACCAAGTTCTACCGGGGATTAAATTTATAACTCACATTCCTACAGTCTTTTCATTACCCATATTCATTATAATTATTTCATATATTCATTATAATCTTTCATTATATAGTTAGGTAGTATTGTGCTCAGTACAATGATATTCCTGTCAAGCTGTGCATCTCATTGTTAAATTACTCTAGTAGTTCATTAAAAAAGCCTCACTTAACTTCCTACAAAAGCCACTATAATAAAGGTTCTTAAAAGACCACATCGCCTAATCCCATTTCAACTTCTTTTTAAAACTGTGTAACAAATTAATAACATGAAATTTACTTAACCATAGCTTGACTGAGTTAGATAATGTTTACACTCTCAAGAGCTTTTTTTTTCAAGCTTATTTTTAGAAATTTAAACTATAAAATTCAAAAGTTAGAAAATAATTTCCAGGTAATCTGAGTATGCACTCAGCATCACATACTACTAGCATTTATGCTAGTAGCATGTAGTTAGATTTAGTTTCTAGTGGAAAGTAAGTTTCTCTGACCACTAACAAAAAGAAAGATTATACAAGGAGAGATGTAACTAGTCACAAAATCCTCAAAATTTCAGGATGACTCTTCAGGATGACATCCACTCTTTTTGCCACAGACAAACTCCATAGCCAAGCACCTGTAACAGACAACAGTTTAGAATTCAAACTAGAAAAGCACAGTCTAGAATTTGGTAGGCTCCAAGGCATGAGATACTTCTTAGATATTCATGACAAGATTACTATTAAAATGAATGTGTATTCCTGCTATAGCATTAAAAATATTTTTCTGTTTAATACCTAGAATGTTTAAAGCTTTAGAATAATTTGTATTTACGCTACTGAAAGTTTCTTACCTATTCAGTCTTCAAAATCCTTTGAGTAATCATATGGGACTGGATGACTTTTCTAACAAGATCCACGATGATTTATACTAAAGGAGGTAAGAATATCAGGTTACATATATACAAATGTAAAATCACATACATAGAATATAAGGTTACACTAGAAAAATCTTTTAAAATCTAGAATAATACAAAGTGTTAAACAATAATGAAATAAGCACATTCAATAGATGTTCATACTATATTTGTTATTTTTAAAGACTGTCATTGTATCAGATAAGACAGGGGTACTATTTCTCCTTCCCCACTCTTTCATTAACAAACTCTGGAGAGATGCAAAAAGGTCATGTTTCCTTGTCCAGCTTTGCCTAATTGAACAAACACCTTATGATACACCGTACAGCAGCTCAGTCAGATCCTCCCAGCATTGGTGAAAGAAAGGCAAAAAAATACTCTGACATCAAAACAGTCATTGCAAAAATATGCAACCACAGGGGGACATCTTTAGCCAAGATTTCTGCTTACACAAGATCCTTCTAAAGCTTTTGCTTCATCAATTTTTTCCTTAAGTTTACAGTAGAAAGGGCCTTCATTATGCATCAGCAACTGGCAGTATCTGAAATTATGTTAATATTTCATTTATTTGCTTCCCATAATAAGATGCATCACTTGTACATCACTTACACACACTAAATTAAGCATGCTTTTAAATTACAGTACTGAAAATAGACTTTACTGAAAAGCTACATCCTGAACTGTCCAGATGAACTTGCTTTAAAATGAGCTCTTACATACTTGCTTACTTTGTCCTGTACCAAGAGATGTCTTTCATGAATACAGCTTTGTCAAAAAAAAAAAAACCTAAAAACAAAACAAAACAAAAAAATAGTGGTTTTTGTTGTTTGCTTGTTTTCAAACTCTTTTTATACTTCTATTGCAGTGGTTAAGTATGCTCCAAAACACAGCTGGGTTATGTTGCGCTCTATTTGTACTAATTGCTGGACTTCCTAGAGATCCTGTGGTCTAAGACAAGACATACACAGGAAAATTAGCTAACGTATTAACACAAACAAACATATGATAGCCCTAAGGGCGTATGTTTTGTTTGGTTTCTAAAGGTACATCTAATCTAACTGACCACAAATAATTAAAAACAAAGAATCCATTTAGATTCTGTATTTCATCTAGGAACATTGTGGTTTTCCTCAAAAGATGACTAGCCAAAAGCCCCAAGAGAAATTATCTCCCACTTCCCTGATATATCTGCAATACCATAGAGAGAAGAGTAAGGAGAGTTTAGTTAACAGAGAGATTGTCACGTTATTTCAGAATATGCTCTTCTGGAAGCAGTAACGGCATGAAGCAATGTGAGAAACAAAAAAAAAAAAAAAAAAGCTGCATCAGCAGACTTCTGTGGTTGTGGTTATTTTGTTTGTTTATTTTATAAGGAGCACTTATACTTGGAAGGAATTATTGTTTTGCAAAAGTGATATCAAAGACTAACAGTACAGGGCAAGCTAACAGATTGCAAACAACCCTCAAAGCAGCTGCTGTGCACAGGATATCAAACTAAACAAAAAAATGCCCTAAACCATGCATAGAAACAAGAAGAAACACAGCATATCCTGACAAACCAACAGGGTTTATGGCTTAGCATTTCAAAAAGACAACAAGCTACCTGATCCTGTATCTAGGTGTTCTACTACACAGTGCAACCATCACAGCTCACATTAACACCTTTTGGCTACACTACCCACTGGTGACAGCTGCCAGCCAGGGAGGGACACAGGGACATATCCATGGGGAATGACAAAGCAGATAGGAAGAGTGGCCCCCTCACCCACAGACCTCAAGGTCTGTCTGCACACAGCAAGGATATGACACTGCTACATCCAAGAGAAAAGAAACAAGTTCAGCTTTCAGTCTTGGATTCTCCACACTTTTAAACATCTTAGTTTTCCTATTAGCCATTACTACTATGGTGCATTATCTTTGACATAAACCCAAAATGTCTAAGTAAAACATCCTTGTTCTTTACAAACAACTTTCAACCTGAAAGTCAATAAAAGGAAACAACTTCGTCACTTTATTATCATATGAGGAAAGACACCTGAAGAACTAAAGTACCCCTCAAAAGATTGAAAGTAGATGAATACAGCTCTTTCAGGTTTTTTAGAAAACCAAATACAAAGTGTGGGAAAACATAAGGCTGAGAAGACACTTGTGAACTAAATGTGAAGGACTAGAAACTGGAAAAGTTGAAACCACATGACTCAAGACTGAACAAGAATCCTTTCCTAATATAGAAACATGACAAAAAACCTAACTGAGGGAGTTTTGTTTAATTTTATATTCTACATCTAATATCCAAAGGTTCACTTTTCTCATAAACTGCTTCATAGCAACATTTTTGTGTTACATATTATTCACTTCAGAAGACGTAGAATATACCTGGATACATGTCTGGGCTGAAAGTCAAGAAAGTTTGGGGACTAAATATTGAAGGCAAACAGCAGGGAACAGTCAGCATAGATCAAAAAAACTCCATGGTACAGAACCAGAACTTGCGCAACATTCTTTTAGGTTAGCCTTAAGTGTGCTAAGAGGAACAACAAGCTAAAAAAGGAATTAAGTTTCGTTCAATATAAGAAGTCTGTCTTCTGAAGGGCTATAAAGGATAAGAGGGTGAGTTTTACTTCTCCTGTCCTAAATACCTACATGTACATAAACCCCTCATTCTAGTTGCAGAAAAAGAACAGAAGACAAATTTATAGACTACCAAAGTTCAAACTATTTCTAGCATCTCGAGCCATAACTTCCCATATTTATAAAATTATCAAATCATAAAATAGTTAGGGTTTAAAAGGACCTTAAAATCATTCAGTTCTAACCCGCCTGCCATGGGCAGGGACACCTCACACTAAACCATGTCACCCAAGCCTCTGTCCAGCCTGGCCTTGAACACTGCCAAGGATGGAGCACTCACAGCTTCCTTGGGCAACCCATTCCAGTGCCTCATACCCCTCACAGTAAAAAACTTGTTCCATGTATCTAATGTAAACTTCCCCTGTTTAAGTTTTAACCCGTTACCCCTTGTCCTACCACTACGGTCCCTAATGAAGAGTCCCTCTGCAGCATTCTTATAAGCCCCCTTCGGATATTCAATGTGGCAGAACTCATTTCATACCACGATTCTAAGAAGTGAAAATGAATCTTCTTTTAATTACATTAAGACAGACAAAATGTGTATTTCTACACTACACATCATTGTCATGGTTTAAGGCCAGCCGGCAACTCAGAACCACGCAGCCGCTCGCTCTCTCCCCCACTTCCTTCTCCCACTCCCGGAGGGATGGGGAAGAGAATTGAAAGAATGTAACTCCTACAGGCTGACATAAGCACAGTCCAGTAACTAAGGTACAACACAAACCACTGCTGCCACCACCAATAACAATAATGATAAGAAAAATACCAAGGGAAGAGAATACAAACAATCACCACCCACTGACTGATACTCAGCCCAATCCGAGCAGTGATCTAGCCCTTCCGACTAACTGCCCCCAGTTTATATACTGGGCATGACGTGCTGTGGTATGGAATACCCCTTTGGCCAGGGGGTGTCCTGTCTCTGCTTCTTCCCAGCTTCCCCTCCTCCCTGGCTAAGCATGAGATTCAGAAAGTCCTTGGACAGAGTAAACACTACTGAGCAGCAGTTAAAACCATAGGTGTTATCAGCGTTGTTCCCAGACCAAAAGTCAAAAACACAGCACTGAACCAGTTACTACAGAGAAAAATGACTGCTACTGCTGAACCCAGGACAGTCGTGTCCAGCTGGAGACCAGTAACGAGTGGTGTCTCTCAGGGATCGGCGGTGGGACATCTTGTTGAACATCTTTGTTGCTGACATGGACAGTGGGATTGAGAGAACCCTCAGCAAGTTTGCCGATGACACCAAGCTGTGTGGTTCGATTGATACACTGGAGGGAAGGAATGCCATCCAGAGGGACCTTGACATGCTTGTGAGGTGGGCTGATGCCAACCTTATGAAGTTTAACCATGCCAAGTGCAAGGTTCTACACCTGCATCGGAGCAATCCCAGGCATAGCTACAGGCTGGGCAGAGAAGAGATTCAGAGCAGCCCTGTGGAGAAGGACTTGGGGGTGCTGGTCGATGAGAAAATGAATATGAGCCAGCTTTAGGGTGCGCTTGCAGCCTAGAAAGCCAACCGTATCCTGGGTTCCATCAAAAGCAGTGTGACAAGCAGGTCGAAGGAGGAGATCCTGCCCCTTTATACTCTGCTCTCGTGAGACCTCACTTGGAGTAATGTGCAGTTCTGGTGTCCTCAACATAAAAAGGACATGGATCTGTTGGAACAAGTCCAGAGGAGGGCCATGAGGATGATCAGGGGACTGGAGCACCTCCCGTATGAAGACAGGCTGAGAAACTTGGGGCTGCTCATCCTGGAGAAGAGAAGGCTGCTTGGAGACCTCATAGCAGCTTTCCAGTATCTGAAGGGGGCATATAGGGATGCTGGGGAGGGACTCTTCATTAGGGACTGTAGTGATAGGACAAGGGGTAATGGGTTCAAACTTAAACAGGGGAAGTTTAGATTGGGTATAAGGAGGAAGTTCTTTACTGTAAGTGTGGTGAGGCACTGGAATACATTGTCTAGGAAGGTTGTGAATGCTCCATCCCTGGCAGTGTTAAGGACCAGGTTGGACGAGGCCTTGGGTGATATGATTTAGTGTGAGGTGTCCCTGCCCATGGCAGGGGGGTTGGAACTTGATGATCTTAAGGTCCTTTCCAACCCTAACAATTCTATGATTCTATGATTCCACCGAACGCAAGTTAGGATAATACTCTTCAAATGTGGAAGGTAATTATGACAATAAACAGATTTATAAAAATATATGGAGTAATAAATGTAAAGCCTGAATTTTTAACAGCCTTTAACATTAACACAGTATCTGTGAAGTAGCATGTTGCCTCAAGAGGGAGGAATTGTTTATAGGAAAATAAGCAGGAGAAGGGATTAGGTAGATGAAAGCATGCAAGAGAAGGCTGGAAATGCATTCAAACTAAGAAACAGGTGACCCATCCTAATTATATGTTAGCAGATGCTGCTAACAGATGCTCCCACATTATGCACAAAGTACAGCTGTGAGAACCAGATACCAAAGATGGTAAACTCAGAGAGATGCATCCCTTGCACCTCAATGAGATACTTGAGGTATCATTCTAAGCTGACAAAGTATGTTTCTTCCAATCACCTCTGCATTGGGAAGCAAATCAAATGTATACTAAGCCCTTTTGCTTAAACTGTTAATTTTAAGGCTTCAAAGGCAGCAAAAGTTAACAAGGGTTATTAACAGATGCACTAAGCCTAAGAAACTGTTTCTTCAACTTATAATTGTAGTACAATGAGAGTTATATTGTCTTGTCTCATGTACCTTACCTACTCTCCTGCCAAGAAAATTGTATGGAAGAGTAAAAGCTAAATGGGAAATTTCAGAGAAAATAAAAGCATTTTGAACTACCTAAGATGTTTTACATTACAAACAACACAGGAATTATAATTACTGTTGGATTTTTCTTCCTGGTGTAGTTCAGCTTTTAAGTGTCACAAATCATGAAAGCTTGAACAAAAACCAGCTTTAAGACACCTGTATCTGTTCAGAAGTAAACTGAACAGCTAATGGAAGATAGATCAGCAGGAGATCTGCACATCAACAAACTCACGGAAGTATTAATAGCCTGGTACAAATTACAACTTTCTGATACTCTCAGTATACAAGAAGTCTCCAAAGGCTACGCATAGCACTACATTTTTCAGAGTAACACTAACTTCATGGAGTGTGATTAATTCAAGGTACTACCAATTGCAAGTAAGGAAGAAAATAGTACTTCCCAGACTCCAATTTTTCAATTCAGTGGAATATTCTAGTGCTAATATCTGCTATAGCCTTTAACAACATCTAGAAAAACCACCCCTGATGTGCTCAGCCTTCCCATGTGGCTGACAGAACTCCAACCAGCGTTGGTGGGCATGTTGCTGCTGGTTTTTACACGGGCAAAACTAGCATAAGCTACTTAGGCACAGCTATAACAAGCTGAACCCGCAAAAGCTCTTAAGAAAATATTATATTGTCATCTTGATTCAGTGAGACATCACCAAAGAAACAGTAACTTCAAACTTTCTAGAAGACAGCATTTTTTCTGTGATTACACTTAATTATGTGATAAACACATAAATGTATTGGCTTTTGCAAATCATAGGTGTGGTTATGTGGATATAACTGTACGCGTTTACAGTAACAGAAACAAAACTCGCTAAAGACACAAGACAACAAGTTAAAAAGGTTCAGACCTCTTGATCAAAACAAAGTCACATAGCAAAAGGATTTGTAAAGGTAAAAGAAAGAAGGGGGGGGTAGCTTCATATAAGGAAAGCTGGTGCCTGGAAAACATAAAGTACTTACTCTACAACTTTGGTTGCAGAAAGAGAACAATGTTTATGTTGCAAGTCTGTGGAATGTAGTGGCCCCACTAAACATGAGTTAATCGTTTCACACTAGTCTTCTAAAGAAGTTTTAAAGAGCAAGGTTTGTGTTGTAAGTCTGTGGTGAGATAACAGGATTTAGTGTACCCACTAAACATGAAGGAGTTATTTCACACCATCCTTCTACTTATCAGTTAGTTTAGAGACAGAGCCTCCCAAACATCTGCTAGCTTGGGATACTCCTTTTCTGCCCATCCTGCAATAAATTTTGCAGGAAGGTCACACTGTTTTAAATCTTTGCTAGTTAGCAGAATAATTAGAGATATTGCTGGTTGTGTGATTACTGGGGCGTCCTATTGTGCCAAAGGTGAAGAGTACACTGTGAGGAAGCCTGCTTACTTCATCTTGAAGACCCCTACTCACAAGAGGATGACTGTTTACTTCATCCTCAAGACCCCTGCCCACAATCACCGCAGAGCACTGTGCAGATGCCAAGAGGAGGAGACTTACGATAACAAATTGTTGGAGCTAGTTATAATGTCCCCCGCCTATATGCGGGAATTATGAATATGCATGTAACTAATGTAATAGTGAAAGTATATAAACCTGTAACAAATGCTAATCACTCACGCCTCCGGCTACGGTCATGCGCCCAGCGCTGTTGCTTTCGCTTTATTGACTTTGTCCCTCAATAAAACCTTGTTATCTTGGATAGAGGACCGAGTTCGTATTTCAGTGAGATCAAAACGACTATAAACCATGTTTTCACGACTTCCCAAATTTCCTTCAACGAAGTCTTTACACACAAGTGATGTCCTTCCCACACCACAACCCACCCCCAGACCACCGCGGTGCCCGGGGCTGCTTGTGGAGGATGGCAGCGCAGAACTCCTACTGCACCACAAAACACCAGTCTCGCCTTGATTATGGCTTAGCTGGAAACAAATGGCAGTGCAGGGACTCTTGGTGCCTGGAGAGCTCTCTAATCAAGTCACTCTAACTCAACGCTTTTCTGCAAGTAGCAGAGCAGCTCGGCACCTTTGTATCCTGGCTGGAACTGCAGGAGACAGGAACAGGAGCTACGGGATGATGACGGCTGATCTCTGTACGTCCAAAGGGACGCTTACAAACCCTCAGCCTTTAAGCACTATGTCGGTATCTGCACATCCCCCAGGCGACAGCTGCCCAAGAGGCCGCAGGACGCGCCGCTGCTACGGTCCCATCCCAAGGGCATCCCTCCAGCGCCGCATGGCCGCCGCTGCAGGAAAATCCGCTCGTAAACAAAACCCAGGGAGAAGGAAGAGGTACAGCGGGGCTGACAAGGGAGCACCCCGCACTCCTCCAACCGGATACAGCGGGCACACACGCGGAAAAAAGCGCCCCGGAAGAAACAAAACTCTGCAACACTGTGACCCTTCCATCCCGAGACTGCCACACCCTCAGACCCCGAGCTCTCCCCTCAACGTCAGCAGCAACGGAATTCCACCCCGCCCCGCCCTCAAATAGCTGGAGCCACGCCCCAGCACTTTCTATGGCCAATGCGAGCCGTGCTTGCTCAGGGAAGGCATGGCGAGTAGAAAGCTCCCCAGTAGGGTGCGCCGTTATTACGGGGCTGGGCTTCTGACCCTGTGTAGCGGGCTGGTGCCAGGCGGTGGGGTTTGCGAGTGCCTCCTGCCGCCCGCCATGAACTCTCTGGACCAGGCTGAGGGTGAGTGCGGCGGCACGGAGCGGGCCCGCAGCTACTGCTCAGCTCTGCTGGGAGCCTCCGGCTCCGCGCTTGCACAGCCTAAGCAAGGTGCCTCATTTCTCCGGAGCGGGCCTCGCCGCGGCGCTGCCCTGCGGGGGGCGAAGCGGCAGCGGGAGGCCTCGGCTGCCTCTGCACTGCGCTCCCGGGGCCGGCGCTTCTCCTCGGCCCAGACAGGCGAGCTGGAGCGGGGTCTGGGGCCGCATCCCGGGGCTCGGAGGTGGGGGGTTGTTGCTGTACTGTGGCCGCCCGCGGGAAAGGCCTGTGCTGAGGGGCTCTGTGTTTGGGCTCCCGTGCCGTTGGTCAAGAAGGTTTCTCGACTTTTGCGTGTTAAAATTTGCCTGTGCTGCGGTAACTGTTTCTCCGCTCACGGTCTTTACGTGAAATACATTTCTTACAGCCCTGAGCTCCACTTAGCACACCAGGTATTTGCCAGGGCTCCTCTTGCATTTGAAGAGCGTGACCTCGAGCAGCCTGCAGTTGTCTGAGGACGCTGGTGGTGTGGGTTACAAGTTCGTTGAAATGACGGTTTACAGGATGTCAGAAACCTGAAAAACTCCTTTAGTGTCCAAACCTAAGTCTGATAGAAATTTTAGAAATGCATCAGGGTCTCAGCAAGTTTTCTAGCAGATACTAGAGGTAGATATGTCAACAAAAAATGATAGTCTGGTGTTGTCATGGTTTTGCTACTCTGTACAAGCTGTAGGGATCAAAGAAGTGTACTTTGCTAGTTACAGCTGCCAGGTGTCAAAGTGATAAACTCAGAGAAGATTTTTAGAGCATATATAGACGAAAATTAAGATGAAAATTTAAGTGCCTGTGTTTTGAAAGTTTGGTGAATTTTGTTGTTTTTTTCCCCTGTGTTTTGGAGTGGGTTGATTTTTTTCCTTTTTTTTTTTTTTTTTTTTTCTTCTAATGCCGTCTACATTATACAAGCGTTTTCTGGGGAGCTTTGTTATCAATAGATTGATTTTATGCCCACAGGCTGCTGTGTCTCAAATAGCAGATTTTCACCTGATGCCTCATATTTTCCCCTCTCACTTCAGTGACTGGTTGTAGGGGTTTGTGCTAGTCAGGAAACAGTTAATTAGCTATAATTACTGGCAGTGGTTTAGCCTTCCCAGAAGGAAGGGGGAGGACAGGCCGTAACTACCGGGCTGTTGGCAGTAATTAAGACTAGTTAACTGTTCTGTGGCTGGAATCAAAATGCTGTAATCTTCCTTCGTGAATTCACCTGCAAACCAGTTAGGAGTAAATTTACATTTTCGAAAACGATGTTAGTAACGATCATAAGAGTAGTATTTCTTCTCATCTTATCCTTCAGTTGCTTTATCATGGTAAATAATTTGGCAACATTTGCAAGTTGTGAATGAAGTATTTCCAGAGTGATGCTAATTAAAATACTTTAGCTGAAAGTTAAACTTATGCTAAGAAAAACCTAACTGCAGGTAAAATTCTACCTTTGACTGGAGTGCTGTCAGTTACTGATCTTGTTGAAAGGAAGTCCAACATAGGCTTCAGGTGAAACACCTCCTTGTAGAGTAATGCTAGGTGGCTAAGATTTGTTGTGTTGTTTTTGGTTTTGGTTGTTTTTTTTGGGGGGAGGGGTGTTTGTTTGTTTTTTAACAAATTAGGAGTACACACTTGAAATGCTGCCTGGCATTTAACAGCAATTTGAATGGAAAGACCATGGGAGAATGATGGCAATATGAAGAAAGATCTATTTAAAGGAAAAACCCCACAAAAGGTTTTGACATAGTGTGTGTATATATATATATATATATATATCATGGCATTAAAAGTTTCTACAAAACAAAAGTCATCAAAGCCATGCTGCCACAAATAATCTCCTGAACAACTAGCAAAGGGTGATTTTTTTTTTAATTATGATTATATAGATAATAGAACTTAATGGTTTCCTGATGGACTTAATACTCCAAACTGTGATACTCTTTTTTTTTTTTTTTTCTTTCCTATGTGGAAGGGCTGTTTAAGCTATTCTGAATCTAATTCTTAGTATTTTTAAAGGTATTTAAAATACTCTGATTTCTCTACTATTTCGTTTTCTGTAAGTGAGAATGTTTCTTGCATTTGGTATAACTCCATAGTACTTTTCATGTAAATGTACGAAGCTACTTTGTGTTTTAATTGCATGTAAATAACCATTGCATTGGTTTTCTCTGCCTGTTTAAAAAATGGGTGTGCACAGGTGAAAAGTTAATTCCTTTTATGGTTTTCATTAAAATTTTACTAAATAAGTGGAGATCTAATTATGCTGATATATATCCTCCCCAGATCTCAAAGCTTTTGAAAGAAGACTTACCGAATATATTGCATGTTTGCAACCAGCTACAGGACGTTGGAGAAGTAAGTTTGGTGTTCCAAGGAATAAATAGGATTCTCTCTTTAAAGCATTTTAGATTTACCAGTGTGTATCTTTGATTTATGTTTGCCCAAACAAAAATTTGTGCTTAAACTCTTTAAAAATTTCTGTGGCATACATTCAAACACTCTGCAACAAGATAATCGTAGACAAAGACCATCTCAAGATAACAAACTAATACTTCAGCCCAAGTTAGAAAAATGAAGTCAAGATTGAACTGGCTGAAGACTGAATTATTGTTGAAGTAGTTGGGACAGTAAGTTATTGTAGTTTTGGAGGTTTGTTTTTTTGAGGGGCTTTGTTGCTGTTGTTTTGAAGATTCAGAACTACAGATAGTCAGTGTAGTTACTTGAACTAAATATGATTGAGTGAAATAGTCCTTCTGTTCTTCTGTCTTCTAAAATGAAGGTGAAAAAGTTACAACAGTGTGCTATAAGGGCAGAATATGTCCTCATCTCTGTTCTAACAGGAGTTTGAAGGCAGGGGCAAGGCAAAAAATAACCACAGATGTGCTGGCAGCTTTGGGATCAGTAGTCCAGGGTGGAAACAGATTGCTTTTTTTGTTGTGAGATTCTACTGAAGTTTCCATACTCAAAAAATGCAGACATTTTTTTAGAACATATAAAATAGTATCTTTTTTCCTGAGAGTCCAAGAGGTTAACTTCAAATGAAGGAACTGGAGTAATGACCACTTAAAAAGCAAAACTGACAAAATATCCACCTCAAAGCACAACAAACTAAACCCCAACACCCCCCTCAACCCCATTGTTTCAGAGCAGCTGGGAGGCAAGCAGGTATTTCTAAGTAGGTCTGCCCAACTTGTGTGGACCTACTTTGGGAATGCATTTGGCTTCCAGAATTGCTATTTACTGTCAGATATAATTAAAAAACAAAACCAAAAAGAATACTGGGAGCTTCTAAGCATATTTAAATGAAGTCTGCATATCTAGTATTGTTTTCACTAGCTAATTTTTTTTACCTACTGCTTGTTTTCCTAGTTTTGTAATTCACGTAAAATAGGGATGTTTTACTTTCGTTACAATGGGGGATTTAACTCTATGTTAACTTTTCCTCCTATTATCCTAGGAAAAAAGTATTTATATAGAGAAGCAGCTGTATGCTTTTGACAGATTTTTTTCCAACTTTTTTTTTTTTTAAAGCATAACTTGTCAAGGTTACTTTTTAACTCTGTTTCTGATTTTGTAATACGCAAAAAGAATATGTAACTCAGTAGTAAATAACAGCAGTCTTATGAACCTAAAAGTAGTATTTCATGAATATCTGGGGTTTGTTTTCAGGTTCTTCCCAATGACCACAAAGGCTGGTAACTCTGGCTCTTCTTTTTTTTTTTTCGTGTGTTGCTTTTTTTGTTTTCTTCCCCCTTCACCCGATAAGAAAGACTTTATTTGCATCAGAACTTCAGGCTTCACAGGAAACACTCAGAACTGCCAAATGCCCAGTGAAAGCAGCAAGGCTTCATGGCTGTACAATACAATAGGAGCTTTCTCTACCTTTGTATTTGTACTGTTTTCTTTTTCCACCAACCCCTGCTCCCCAACCTTTTGTAGTGTCTCAAAATCAGTATAGTATCTTGTGTTACTCTACTACGTATCTAGCATTATCCATTTACAGTGAATGTATTATTCTTCCTAAGCTATTCTGGACATGTACAGGTTTTTGTTAATTTTCATGTGCTAATGCCGTCATGCTTTCTGACTCCTGTTTGAATTTTGTGTTTATCTTTTTTTGTCTGTGTTGGCTTTCTTGCTTGTAATTGTGTTGATTGTCATGGGGAGTATAACACAACTCACATATGCCATTGAAATTGCTGTTGCTAATGCCTCAGGCTGTTCTGATGTAGAAGAGCTAATGGGATAGATGCTTTAATTCTGCTCTGCAATGTAATGGTTATTCATTTTCATTGCCCAGACTGCATAAGCTCAAAGAGCATACTGAAAATTTGGTACAGCTCTTACTCCAGTCTTCCAACTCATATTTTTGCTAATGGTGTTATTTTAGAAACTTTTGTTTCTCCAAAGCATTTGGATGTTTTTACTTCACAGAATTTATATTTTGGTACCTACTTGTCCTGTCTGTGAAACTGGTACAGAATCTTTATGGTTTGACATAATCAAAATTCCTTTGCTTGTTTTCATTTCTACCTTCCAACTAGAAACTTCTTCTCCCCCAGAAGAGGGAAAAGAAAGAAATGTGTAAGAGCTGTTGATGAAAAAGAAATACTTGTTCATAAGAGGTATACTGTTTATGACTCTTCTTTTCTTTTTCAGTGATTCTGATAGTGGTGTCAGTCTGCACAGCAACTGGTGCGTGGAACTGGTTAATAGACCCAGAGACACAAAAGGTAAGAATCAGGTTAATCCCAAATGTAGTGTGTGGCAGTCAAATATAGTATTGAAAACTGAAAGGCTACCGGTGGTTCTCCTGTGAAACTGGGAGATAATTTTCGGTTAAGCTCTTGAGCTCTCCAGAATTGTTCTGGAATATGTCCTGGGACAAAAATGCCTACCAATATGTGCATATTGAATGCTTATCTAAAGAATGGGTCACAAGTACTCAGAAACAGCTAGGAGCAGTATGGTTTTGTTTTGTTTTAATTAAGTAAACTAGACAGCAACTTTATGTATGTTTTAGAAGTATGCAGTAGGACTAATTTGATTTCTTTCCTAGGTGTCATTTTTCACATCACTTTGGAATCATCCGTTTTTCACAATTAGTTGTATTACCCTAATAGGCTTATTCTTTGCTGGAATACATAAAAGAGTGGTGGCACCATCAATGTATCCTTCAATTGTGTTTGTCAGATTAAAGGTGTTGCAGTTACTGCTGTTATTGAAGCCTGTGCTAATACTGCTTTTTTAGTTCTTACTTGCTCTGTGTACCAGTGTTAGCTGCTTTCCTTGACACAATTCACACAGTATAGCAGCCCGATGTCGAACTGTTTTGGCGGAATATAATATGTCCTGTGATGATGTAAGTGTTAAGTCATTGCTTAAACCTTGTTTTTGAAAAAATGCAAATAACTGGAGAAGGCGCACAGATTTTTTTCTGAACAGCACTTGCCACAAAGGCATGTAGTGACAGGACAAGGGGGAATGGCTTTTAAGATGAAAGAGGGGAGATTTGGATTAGATGTTAGGAAGAAATTCCTTACTATAAGGGTGGTGAGGCCCTGGCACAGGTATGCCCAAAGAAGCTGTGACTGCCCCATCCCTGGCAGTGTTCAAGGCCAGGTTGGACAGGGCTTGGAGCAGCCTGGTTTAGTGGAGGGTGTCCCTTCCCATGGCAGGGAGGTTGAAACGGAGGAGCCTTAAGGTCCCTTCCAACCCAAACCATTCTGTGATTCTGTGAATGCACTTTAATAAATTCTGTGTATCTGCAAAACTGGAATGTAGAATAATTAGTATTGTGTGTGTCATTCTAAACTTAGCCTGTGAAATTGAGCTTGGGCTCAACTTTCAGGGTCTAAACTTATTTTTTTTTTTTTTTGTCTTGCAGACTGGAAAATTAATTTTGAAACCTAGGCCTCATGTTCAATAAGGGCTGTCTTCCTTCAGTTTTTTCCACTGCCATGGAAACCAAAAATGACATTTTTAAGATAGTGTGACAACAAAAACCAAACAGGACTGGTTGTCGCTGCCTGGGAGTGAAAGTCTTACACAGTTGACAGTGAAAGTGTGCAATATTATTTCTTGAATACTTATCCAAATTCTTTGTTATCATATTTTCAGTGCTTTTGCTACTTCTGATTACCTCCTTTTCAGTATTAGTGTCACTTTTTTTACTTCAGCTAGAAGAGAACATACAGGTGAAATATGTTAATTGGCTACGAGTTGAACTTGAAAAATCAAACCTCATGTGTGTTACGTGTCTTTGTAAACTATTGTAAATAGCATATGGATGCCAGTGTTCAGGAAAATAACTAATACATGCTGTATGGATATTTTTTGTTCTCATGAACAGTATTAATAGAACAGTTACCATTCCCATGATGTTTTATTAGCACACTTACTCATTACAACTGTCCTTGTCTCCCGGTCATTCTTTTTGGAACCGGTTAAAGGCTTGCGGAAAGACTGTCTGGCCTGGAGAAAACTGGTCTCACTGTTTAAGAACTGCAGCTGCATCAATGATCACACTTGTCAGTCTGTGTATATAGTGCACCAGCCACTTCTGTTGTGATCATACGTAGTTAATAGTGTGATCTGGTTCACAACACTGATCTTTTCAGATTTTAGTACTTTAAATATGCTTGTACGTTCCCGACTGTATCTGTACTGTATCTGAAGTCCACATGACCATTCTGAGAGGATTTTTATGCAATGATAGTCCAATATGAAACTAGTATTGAAAACTATATAAGCGCTCTTGATGGCTTGGGTTTGTGAATGAAGATTTGGGAAGGGCTTTACCCATGCTTACTGCAAGTGCGATGAGGACTAAAAGGGCAATGTGGGATAGGCAAATCCGGTTGGAAAAAATGCTGCTTGGTCATTCAGGAAGTTTCCAAACAAGACTGTCGTTTCCTGGGTCAGTCTCAAGCAACCACTGACCTGCCTGCATGCAGGGTTGGGTCTGCGGCTTCCATTGCACTTTACCACCTGCCATTGTGTCCCTCGTCTGTTGCTACAGGGCTTTGCAAGTGTGAGTAAACCCTTCGGGCCTGTGCAGTGGATTTTTTTAGATGAGGCACAGTGTGCACAGAACTGGTCCCCCTTTACACCTGAGGTTTATATGCCAGAGCCTAGAGAGCTTGGCCAGTGACAGCAAAGGTTTAGTTAGAGTGTCCTTCTCTTAGGTGGAAGGCCTTACAAGGGTAGATGAGCTCCATCTGTCCAGGTTTGAAGTTAAGAGTTTTCCTTCTCCTAGAGTATCGCTATGTCTGGGTGGGATTCTGACTTAGAGGTGTGAAGTCATAAGCCAGCAGATGGTAGCCTCGCGGCAGTGGCTCCTCAGTCAAGCGCATGCTCCAGGGGTCTGAACCTGCGGTTCCTCTCGTACTGAGCAGGATTACTGTTGCAGCAACACATCATCAGTAGGGTAAAAATAACCTGTCTCACGACGGTCTAAACCCAGCTCACGTTCTCAATTAGTGGGTGAACAACGCTTGGTGAATTCTGCTTCACAACGATAGGAAGAGCCGACATCGAAGGATCAAAAAGCGACGTTGCTATGATGCTTGACCGCCACAAGCCAGTTATCCCTGTCGTAATTTTTCTCACACCTGCTTAAAACCCAAAAAGCCAGACGCACGCTCTTAGTGCCAGGGTTATAGGGCTGCTGTAGCGCTGTTCTGGCAGCGGCGCTTCCCCCGCCTCTGGCCGAGCCCTCTCTGTAACCGGGCACCTCCTGCCTGTGGGTGGGCAGCTGGGCTGCGCCTGCGCGGGGTGGGCCTGCGCCTGCGCGGGGTGGGCCTGCGCCTGCGCAGGGTCTGCACGTGGGTGCGCCGGCGCTGAGGCGCGTGGAGGAGGGAGAGTCATGGGGAAGAGTCGGGGGAAGCGATTCCGGCAGATCCACTGCTCTCCTACCGGCCTGGAGCAGCGCTGCGATGAGGAAGATGACCCGGACGAGGAGCCGGCCGCGGAGCTGCTGGAGAAGGTGCGGGCGAGAATCGGGGGCGTCCGCCGGCAGGGTGAATTCGGCGCGACCCCAGCTTGGGACCAGGGCACTGGTCAGCCCCGGCCCGACCCGATGAGGCTGCGTATCTGGCGGGGGTTGTGCTCCTCCGCCGCCGGTTGGGTTGGGGACAAGGTCTCAGGCTTTCTTAGCCGTGTCGAGGACCTGGATGCGGTGCGGCCTGTCCTCGGGCGCGGGAGGGAGCTGTGCGGCTCGTCCCCCGCTGCCGCATCGTTTCTCCGGCGTTACGGCTGTGCCCGCAGCGGCTCGGCGAGGGGCGGCGGCGGCGGCCCTGCCCTCGCTGGCCGGCAGCTGCTGCCTCCGGGCTCGGCACTCCGACCGGGCGCTCGTTCTCGCTTTCCTGACTGGTCTAGAGAGGCTACTCTGAGCTCCTCGTGCCAGGAGAGGCTTTGAAGGAGTTCTTGCAGTGCTTGGGTTCTGTCTGCCCGACTGGAGAAGTGCTCCTATGGTAGCCAAGGCGGCAAGTCCAGGATCCACAGGTGAGAAATAACTCACAGAAAATGCTGAAGAGATTGGGTTTGGCCACGTGTTGGCCGCATTCCTGGTTTTGGTTTAAGTGCTACAGAGAAAAGCTAGTGTAAACCTCCTTCTGTACATGTGACATTAGAATCTACAGTAAAAATCTGTTTTCCTTTAAGGAGCTAAATACCCTGTGTTCACTTCACCTAAATGAAATTATTGAACAAATCACTGCTTAATTATTCCTCTGGAGTAGCCTATTTAATCTTATAAAGAAAAGAAGAAAGAGGGAGAGTAAAAAAATTACACAAATGCACAGGTGAGGATGAGTGCAGAGACTTCTGTGTCAGTGAGGCAGGTTGTGAGGTACCACTCTTTGCCAGTCTGCTCTTCAGCAGATGTTTGTCTTTTCTGTTGGGTTTTTGACAAGCTCCATGACCTCCCAGGACAGGCACTTCTGACATCCTTTTATTTTTATGGTTTGTGATTCTTGCATCTACCTAAACCTCTTACAGCATAAGGCAGTGTTGTCTTGTGAATGTAGAGAATTCTTGCTCCTTGACTTGGGGCAGATGTTTTTAGTCTAAAGGCTGTCATGCTTTATTTGTATTTTTTGATTCTTCAGTTTTTGTGTAAGGTGGTATATTTTGTCTGTTTTATTTCTTTGATGGTATTTTTCTCTCCACTTTTGCCCTTTAAAAGATTTTTTAAACATGGTAATTGAAAGTAGCTATGAGGTCTCACCAGGGACAGCTAGTGTGAAATCTGTGTCTGAACTGCAGTTCTCTTGTTCACTCAATAAAAATTTCCAGCTACCTTTTCCCTTGCCCCTAATCTGCCCTGTTTGTGTCTCCCCAGGTGCAGCATCCAAGTGCTGAAGTCAGGGAGTATGCCTGTGCCAGTATTTCCAAGCTGTTGCAAGAGCAGCAGGCAATCCCAGCCTTCCTGCAGAGAGATGTGATCCGTTGTTTAGGACCCTTGTTGATGGATTACAGTTTAGCTGTTCGGGAGACAGCTGCAGGTGCCCTCCGGTAAGCAGTTGCTAGTATTCGGTTAGAATGAGGTACTCCTGGCATGGAAAAGAGAAGGGTTTTCCTGTTAAAAGCTGTGAATTTGAATGTCAGCCTCTCTTCCTTTAACTCCATTTTGAGTAAATATACCTGTGTCAGTTGAAATCCCTGAGGGAGCAGCTTTTCTTACTCCAGTAGGCTGTCATGAAATTTTAATGGCAGTAGCAGAGTTTAGATTAGTTATTGCAATTTTATCTACTCCTAGTGGAATGTTTTGCTTTTCATCCTTATGTTAAGAAAAAAATCGATAGTGGTATGAAGAAATACAGAGAACTTGAATGCTGTTAGTATGGCATTTTGTGTCTTGGTAACCCTGTATGAGTGGTGGGTTACTTAGGAAATGCACAGAGGTGTGTTTTAGAGAAACCTGTAAATATTGGAAATGTACAGAGGTATGTTTTAGAGAAAGCTGTAAATATTGAACAGCATAATTTTGAGCTGCTGTTCTACAGTCAAACCTGCATGTTGCTTTATTTATACAAAAATTTAATGCTAATACCTGTTAACATTCATGTTGTATCTTACACTCGAGTAGTATCTGACAGAAGTCATGTGTTAGTGCAGATAATTTTTGTGGTTATGCTAAACAAGTAAGTGAAAGTATTTTTTTTTCCCTAACACCAAAGTTATTATTTTATGCTAAGAAGGTAAAAAATTAAAGTTACTGATTAAGCAGATTGACTTAAAAATGAAAAGTACCATAACCTTTAGAGAAGAGTACTGAATGCATGGTGTTTTGGTTTTTCTTTTTTTAATATTCCTGCAAAGTATTGTACTTTATCAAAGCATGTTTTTTGGGGGGTTTTGTGGTTTTGTTGTTTTGTTTTTTTTTCCAGAAATCTAAGTGCTTGTGGGGGATTTGAAGTCTGTGATGACATGGTGTCAAAAGACATAATGACACCCCTTGTTGCGCTTCTGAAAGAGGTGTGTTTATTTTTATTCCAAGTTTAAAACTGATCTAGTCATTGAGTTATCTCATTTTCAAAAACAGTTGAATTTTTGTAGCTATTCTCATGATAGGATATTTGAGAGATCTTTGAAATGAATGTTTCAGTAGGTTTAATGGACAAAAAGTATTTCAGAGATTTCAAACCACTTGATTTTGCCTCTTGACCTGCTATCTTGGGTCTGCACTAAGGTTTGCTCTCCAGGATGATTTTTTGCATAAGTGGTGGAGTGATTTGGGGTCTGAAATGGCAGTGAAGATAAATCTTTTTTTGCCAGTGAAGATCCAGACCCAACATTTATGTTGCAACATTATTCTAGTGAGGGTATTTTGGCAGGCAGTTTTGTCTATTGACATCTTGGATTTACAGTTGGGTAGTTACTGCTGTTGTAGAATAATCTGTACTGAATACATATTCTTTATTTTATTGAGTGTTGCAGTGCAGGTTGGAAATTGCATCGAATTCTGTCACCTGTTGCCTGTGTATGAGCAGCCTTGAGCAGTATCATTATTTTCTGTATGTTTCTTCCCCATTTTAAATTTTGAGTAATAGCATTATTGTAAAGCACAGCAGGATGTTAGCTGAATTAACTTTTGTGATTAGAAAGAACTGCTGAAAATTGCTTACAGTCTGTATTACCAAGAAACAGCACTTCAGATTCTAAAATTGCTAAGTCTATAAAAAAAAACATTCTGAAGATTATTGAATGCAAAGCAAGTACTGACAGAGTCTTTCTACAGCAGAAGAAAATTTACAAATGATTCAGTTCCATTGTGGCTCAGTTTTCTTAGAGAATAGGAAACTGGTGTGGTTTTCTGTCAATAAACACTCAAGAGAGATCTCTCCTTTCACTCTGCTGCTAATATTTAAAGGTTTTGCTTCTTAGTTCATTTGTTGCCCAACCTTGGTTCTCTTGTTTGGTTGTAGTGCAGCACTGGACTGGATGCTAACCAGCTGTCTCCAGAGAAATGCATAGAGATGAACAAAAACTATATTGAAGACATAGCCAACGAGGCTATTAATTTGCTGTGGAATGTATGGTAAGTACTATGTAAACACTGGCCTTTTGAAAGAGCTGAATTAAATTGTTCCTAAAAAACCAGCATGGTAATGGAGGCAGAAATTAAATGACTGTCCTTGCATGTGAAGAAATATTCAGTTGCTGATTCTGGTTTCTGACTGTGTTGCTCCTACACATGTCCTCCTTAATGAATGACAAACGCTCATCTGATCTGAAATACAGCTTTATCTTCTACCGTAAGTTACTTCTGTTGATGAAGGATTCTAAAAGTGCACAAAGTTGGTCATTAGTTTTAGGAGTGACATTCTTTCCCTTCCCCATTGGTTGTTCATACCAAGTTCTGACACTGTTTTCTGATTGTGTTCTGTCAATCTACTGTACAGTTTTTGGGTTGTGGAGTCTTCCATACATTTCCTGTAGATCCTTATTGTGATATGGGAGATAGGGGAAATTCTGATTATTGGGCTCTAGTGCTCTGGGAATATGAGGAGGTTTTGTACTACTTCTTCCCTCTGCAGGTCATGCCTAAAGTTAATATTAAAGGTTTGGACAAACTATCCCTTAGTGCCTGAGACACTGCTACAGATCTACATAATTAAGTGAGAAAGAATGTGAATAGTTCACTTAGTAGTTTACATTGAAAACACTAAGTGAAGGAAGAGAAATGGCTACACTGTCAATAAAGAAATGGTTATAAGCGTTGAAGTGCTACATACCAGTTCTGAAAGTTCTCCTTGAAATTTGTATTGTTTCTCCTTGTTTTGTAACAGCTTCATGTCATTATACTCTTTGGTCTTTACAGAATTCTACTGTATTATATTGCAATGCAGCTGCCGCTGTGTCTGTCTTTATGGTATGGCTGCTGGCTTGAGGCCTTATTTGTACATTGTTTTTTTTTGGGAGATTGGAATCTAGAACAGTATAGAAACTGCTCGCTCAGCACCTTGCACAGAATACATGACCCTTTGTAACTGACTCAACAATGTTTTGTGGGGTTTTTTTAATCGCTTTTGCAGACATAAGTGCTTTGGAACAGGAACTATAATCATTAAGTGTGCTGTAAATCACTTCTGTATTTTGAACTTTTTTGCAATGACCATGAACTGCTGACTTCATTGTTGAGTTTGGTACTGATCAAATTTGGGCTGGCATTGATGCAGAGACAATGTATTCAAAAGTAAATTTTTAAAGACCCTTGTAGCTAGTTAGGTCCCATGTGCTTTTTAGTTTGAATTTGTCTTTTATTGATAATTAGTTTAAAAATGGGAATAGTTGTGAGAACTTGAAGCAACACAAATCCCAGTGTTAGATAATTAAAGTAAATGCCACATTTAGCATTGATTTAGCATCAATTTTGAAATGTTAAGAGCAATCATTTCCTGGAGTAAGTGAATATTGATACTGGAGGCAACAGCCTGCTCTGTTGTCAGTGCTTTTGTGGATGAAGCCTTCCATGGATGCAGAAAGCCCTGGGCTGGCCTGTAGCCCGCAGCTATAAACTGCCTTTCACTCTCTGGCTGGCTCTGTCTGCAGGAGACTACGTGGGCTGCCAAATAAGCTCCTGAATACTGTGTGTGAGGAAGCAGATGGCAGAAGCCAACTTTCCTCAAAGGTGCCCACCTTATTGCCGCTTTGCTTTCTCCATTTTCTATGGAGTTGATCATAACCACAGTAATGAAGAATAGCTTTTGGACTCATGCATAATTCTTAGGTGGGTTTTTAGAATGTGAGAATAGCAAGTACATGTTACTTAAAACATTGTTACAGGATTTTTTTTCGTGGGAAAAGTGTTTTATTAATCTTTCTTATGCATTAGTGAATGCAGTAGTACCGCAGTACACATATTCAACAAGGAAGGATGTCTGGAGGCTGTGTTACCTTACATGAAAAATTTTTCTACAAATGTGGATCTGGCTGTTTCAGCAGGTAAGTGGTAAAAAGGTAAGCATTTAAAGATACATTGTTTTTTTTTCTTTCTACTATGTAAATGTAGCACTGATGTCACATCCATTTTATAATGTAACTGCTTTAGCATTACTTAAACTGTAGTTACTTAAATTTACACTGAATATAAGACTTTCTGACCATCACATCAGCCAGAAGTTGACAACTGTTGTGCTTGTTTTCAGTTCAGAGAAGAATGGCTTATTGGTGGCTATGTGGGAGTGAAAAAAAATGTGGAAAGAAAGCGCTAGATAGAGGATGTGTTTTTAAATTTGTTTTCTGGGTTTGGTAGTGGATGGTTTAATAGGTTTTTGTAGAGCAAAGGACATAGTCCATCTAAAAATACCTAAACAACCTCTATCACTTTCAATGTCATTTTATTAATATTATTGCTACTATAGTTATTTTTATATATATATATATATATAGACTTACAGTGGTCTTACACCTATATGTGCTTGCACAGCTAGTCCCATGTCTAATGTGGTACTGCCCTCACCTGTTTTATGTACAGATTTGCCATAGAATGTCTTTAATCTAAAACACATTTTGTGAAAGACAGTGTCACACCATTACAACATGATGCTGTATGAAGTTTTTTTCCTGTCTCTGTGTTTCATTACTCCAGCTTGCAAGAAAATAATGGTTTCTCATTAAGAGAGTGAAAGCTACTGTTGGGTTTGTTAATTATCTTTATTGTTTGCTGCAGCAAACTGCTTACAGGCAGTGACAGAAGATAATCCAGATCTTCTTCCTTCGTTTAATGCTTCTTCACTACAAGTATTGGAAACAGTGATGCTGTGTCCAGAGAGCACAATGAAGCACATCCTTCTGAGAACGCTCACAGCAGGTACGATGCTCGAGGGCATTCACTGCTTTGTGATGGCAGCTAAAGGAGGGTGGGAAGGACAAAAGCCTTAGTATTCTAAGCTATAGTCTGCTGTTGGGCAAAGCCTGTATAGATGGTTCATGAGGTTATTTCTGCCTTTTGGGATTGTGTTTTGTAGTGACCAGGTATTTACAACCGTTTTTAAAATGGCCTTAAATGCTAGATTCTGAACTCAGTATGGTAATGCATTTTAACTGTTCCTTTGTTTTTCAAGTTAAATGAGTCAAAATAAGTAGTATAGGAATTGTTTAGATCTTAATAGATGTGGATTTTTACCTAAAGTTCTCTATCTTTCATTCTTCTTTCTACCTCAAATGATCAACCATGGTGATTTTTGATACAGGAGTGTAATAAATTCTGAGAATCCTTAGAAAATGGTTATTTCGTGTGGATTTATTATCACATCTAAAACGTGACACTAAGGGGGGCTCCTCGTAAATACTCTGTATACTTACATGCTGAAATCTACTTAAGATTTGGGCCTAACATTGTTTTTAAAGGTAAGTATATGAAATGTTAAACAGAGAAAATACAAGTCTTTAAAGAAAGGACTTGAAAATTCCTACTGAAGTGTAAGCACTGGGTATTGTGAGTAGTGGAGGCTGTGTCCTTAGAAAATACATGGATATTGCAGAGCTGGGAATTGAGTATTTTACTAATTTTTATATTTCAACTATCTCATGTTTAGGCATTGTCTGGAATATCAAGGGTACAATTCCACCAGGCAGCCTGGGAAGCATAATTAATGCAGTCCTGAAGATTTTTTCAGAATCATTAGCAATAGATGCTGGCGAAACAATTATTCGTATGAAAGAAGCTGAAAAAAACAGGTTAAAACTTGCTGTGGAGAGAGAAACAGAGGAAAACATGAGTGATGTTACAGAAAACTGTGTTTTGAGTGAAGATTATGACTTGGAAGAAATACCAAAAGGAAAAGTCAAAAAGGGAGAAAATGACATTTCTGATTTCATTCCAGTAAGTGTGTGCCTGGCTCTTGGATAGCTTAGTGTGTTTGGTTGGGCATCTGACTCATCTTGAGGCAGTCTTAGCTAGAGTAAACTATATAGAGTGTTAACTAATCCTAGCTCCCAAATAGTTGCCTAATGTAGCTAAAACTTCAAAGACAAGGGTGGAGAATTCCAGCACAACTTGTTCCAGTGTGATCAAGTTGCACAGTACATGAGGAAAGCATGTTTCCATTTGTTTCCTGTAGTGGAAGGTATATATTTATCTGCTTTTACCTGTAGCCACTGCAGGAAGTTCTGGTTTCTGCATGTGGCAAGTGAGATGTTTATTTGTTGTAACCATTCAGTCATGAGTGGAGATGGCCCGGAGGTTAACAAATGCATTCACTATGATGTACCTGAAAAGAATAACAGAATTACTTGTTTCTGATCAGGATTTAGCTAATATTAGGTAATCTTTTCTGTTACAGCTTTAGTGCAAGTGGCATTTCTTGATGGCAAAATCCATTCTGAAGCGTTCAACAGAAAGATGATAGATAATGCCTCTTGGTTTTGCTGGTGGTTTTGTTTTTTCACATTTTCATGTAGAATGAGAAGAGGAAACAGCAGGATTGAATTTTTATCTGTCAGTTTGGGTGCTTTAAATTGCACTGAAATGTTTTACAAAATTAAATTTGGTTCATGTTTTTACCTTTTAGCCTGATCAACAGGAACTGAAAGAAGTGACAGCTTTACTGATGGCTCAGCAGACTGCTCTGGAAATCATTGTTAATATGTGCTGCAGTGAAGGTTTGTAGGAATCTCTTTCATTGCAAGTGTTGTAGTTTATTTTGTTTCTAGAATACTTCATGTTTAGTTTGCTCTTTGATGGTCTTAGCTTTTAAGGGCAAATGCACACAGACTTAGTGTCCCTGACACCCTCACTGGGGGCAGATCTGATTGTATGGGTTTTTCTCGTGTAAGTATTTTCTGTTGCTTGCCTATTTAAAATGAAAACTATATTTAAAATAAAACTAAATGTGCGTCATTTAAGAACAAATAAGAAAGAACTTGTGATGAAAAGGTACTTCCAGAAAAGTATTACAGCATATTCTTTGCTCATTTAAAGTGTGGTCTGAGATTTCATCTGATACAATATGGGTGTGAATGTTATTGCAGGATGAGGGCATCAGTATGTTTTTAAGCAGGTCAATCTTGTTGTTTTGGTATTATAAGTATCAAACTTCTTGTAGTATCAAAAAGATACTATAAGTATCTTTTTAAGGAAGAGAGACATTGCATGCAGCTCTGGCAACAATGTAGATTTAGACTGTTCAGAATACCACCTTTAAGAGCTTTTTTCTGAGGAGAAAGGCAAGCTGTTATTCTTGGGGCAGTAGCAATTAGATGTTCTGTATCTTCTATGAACTCTGATACTCTGTTTTATAGCTTTTCTCCTAATCCTCATGAAAACAAATAAGTGATTTCCAAATTTTATATAAAAAAAAATTAAAAGAACCACCAAACAGAACTGACACCTCAAAACCCCCTCCAAAACCTGAAAACATTAATTGCTGCTACAGTTTGTAAGTCTGATGCAAAAGTAATTGCATAGGAGAGAATTTTGAGTAAATCTTTCAGGTTCTAATAAAATCCACAGTAATCGGCAGGTATTCCCAATGGTGATTTTTTTTTTTTCCTCTTACAGCATAAGGAATTTCTGCACCTAGTATACGAAACTTCTTTCATAACTGCATTTCTCATCTAATGAGCTGTAATTCATAAGCTCTCCCCTTTAATTGGAAAATCTCTTGTGGGTAAACTGCATATTTTGCCATTCACTCAGTGTAATGTAAGGTTGATTGTGCTGTATTTCACCACAGTGCTTTACCCATTCATAGGCAGACAGAAACATAGTCTGTAGAAATTAAGAGGAATCCAGAGGCAGCTGCTCATTTAATTTTTGAGTTATTTGATGACTAAAATAGCTGTAGCCATTATGCTGAGTTTATAGAAGTACTCAGCTTGCCACAGAATTGAGGGGAATAACCAGGCTGGCAAGAGATGTGTTCTACTGAACACTGGCCAGCATTTGGAAGAAGCAGAGTGCTCTTCCCTGAACAGGGGCAAAAGAGGGAAGCCAGAAGACTCCAGTGTTGCTCTCCAGTCTGTAGTTGTAGGTTGCCCTACCTGCACTAGTTAAGATGGGACTGTCATTGGAAATGCTTCTGTATTTCCAAGAAAGTTACAAAAAATCTGGTCTTAGTTGTGGGCTAATGTTCTAGAGCCCAGTTCCTGCTCTGTCCTGGTTACCCACTGTGAACATATGATGACGGTTGTCTTTGTTGTTGCTGAATTCCATGGTCAGTTCATATAGTTCTCATTTAGTTTTCAAAGAAAAGTTTTGCTTTATTTTGAAAAGATGCAGATGGAACTTTTTTTGTAAGAGGCAAAAGACTGACTGAAAGAGGGATGTCCGCTTTGCTTTCATGCTTGTTGCTGCTGTGTGTTGGTAAAGCATAAAAGACAACTGTTTTCTCATGCAAAAGCTATCAGCTCTTTTACAGCATATTATAACTATAGAATTAATTGGCTATTTCCAGAAGTGAAAGAAGATGTCTGTGTGATCAGGTTGTTACAGCCTGATGAGTTACTTTGTGTTGGATAAACAACAGTCATCACCTTCAAATACTTTTACAAGTACTTTGTGGTGCAGGTGAAATGCCTTCAGTTAGATCTTTCTTTCGTTAAGTGAAGGGCTTGTCTGAACACCAGTTAAAATGTAACCAAGTTTAAAACAACTTTAGATAAATCAGTGTAAACCCTATGCATGTAGATTTATCAATTTAAATATAAATGATGGGCTTAGCTTGTGCTTTCCAAGCCAGGTCTGCTTTTAACCATGGACAGATTACTCACTTTTACAGTAGCTGTGCCCATTGGTGGTTGGCCTTAACTCTTCTCACCATGTCTACCCTTGCAGATCTGTTAGTAGAATAAACTACGTAAGTATAAACCTGGCTCAGGTTTATTTTACTTAAAATAGGTTGTCTGAAAGGGGTAACAGTGATGATCTGGCTTGCTTTGGCTTGCTTTGCTGTCATCATTTCCTTTTTCAGCTGGCCTTACTGTGGAGACAGTAACATCTTCATCTCACTCAGTTACAGCTCTGTCAAAGGACATCTCTCTGTGGCTTCACTTACTGCCAGGGAAAACAGTTGCCTAAAACTTATTTTAGTTAGTAAACAAGTTAAACTAAACTGGTGTATTTGCATGCTTGAATTTACCTCCAAAAGTTAAATGGTAAATTCGAGTTAAAGTCTTAGTAAATGTTTTATGGAATGTTTCTTCTATACCTTTTCTTTAACTGCAGCATAGTTAATACAAGATAATGAAGTACCTCTGTATGGAGAACCTCTCATGTAAGCATGCTTGCTGCCTGAGTAAATATAAAATAAGTATTTTTAAAAAATAAAACAATTTTTAATGAAAGTAGTATAATATTTAGAACTGTGGATTAGTGGCAGTTGGTTTTCATGGACCTCAGAAAAGCCCAAGAGCTTAAAGACTCCTGACCAACAGGTAAAGAACCCAACCAGGAGGTATAAGTGAGAAGTAGGATACCTATTGTGGGAGTGCTATTACAAATCTGTCATCTTTTCTCAGATCCTTCTGATGATGAATGGGAAGAACTCTCCAGCAGTGATGAAAGTGACTTTATGGAAAACTTGTACAATGATGGGAGTGGGCTGCTAATGTCACCTCTGTGCCTCTCTGATGAGGTTAACTCAGCATTTATGAACAATCTCATTCCAAAGAAGGTATTGTCTTTTGTTTGCAACACATGGTACAGCCTTTCACTTCTGCCTGATTTGCATCCCAGGTTAGGCAAACAAATGATCAAAATCCATCTGTAGAAAAGGAGTATTTTTAAAAATCAGTTTAGCTTCACTTTTTTGGCCTAGAGGTGGAGCTTCGATACATGAGCTGTCTTGACATAAATAATTTTTTTATGTAAATGGGAATAGAGGGTTCATGTGTTTTAGGAATCTAGTGGTTTGTGTTTGGGAGTATTTCTGATTGTTTGGGGTTCTTTTTTTTTTGGGGTGGGGGGGGTGTTTTCAGTTTGGCTTTTCTAGAATGGAAAATTGATTTGGGCGTCAAAAAGAGTACTTGCTAAAAGGAAGGAAACTTTCAGCAGAAGCATGACTGCCAAATTTCCATGTTAGCTTAAAGAGCTTGACGTTACGTGAGTGGCAACAGTCAGCACCGAGTAAGTGCAAGTTCTTCCCCCAGTTTCATACATAGCGTTTGAAATACAATTTTTGACACTGACAAGAATTCAAATGTTCTTGTTTCAGAGTATTGCTCAATCTTTGGAGTTGTAAAGATGAAGATCATCAATTGCATCAGTTATTATGCTAGAATTCTACTTGGTCATCAGGGTGTGAGATAAAAACATTCAAGGCTTTTTGCAAGCAGTCTGATTTTCATGGTTGGTGTTTTAGACGTGTGGTTATCTGAAAATTCTGTAGCGGAATCTGCACAAAGAAAGATTGAAATAAAAAAGATTAGCAGAGACCTAGAAAATCACCTTTTACAGTTGGATACTTAAAACAGTCTGTGCCAAGCCCAGTGTATAACTGTACCATTTGAGTGACTGAGAAAGACTCTGGCAAGGTGAGACACTTGCTACCTGGGGAGCTTCGGAGTATGTAGTTTGAAGTATCTGATTTACATTAAGCTAAAGCCTTGTTGCTAAGCCTTTCTTTTTTCCCTTCCCAGATTCTTGAAAAAACTGCTTTTCCGAACAGTGTTGCTCTAGACATCTGCAGGCACAATCCATCCTGGAAACCATTAATTAAAAAGTAGGAATTTTATTGTTTCTCTTACTATTTTTCATGTATATTCAGTTGTTTTAGTACTCTCAGAAGGATTGTCTATCTTTGAGTTACTTGTAAGGTGTAAACAATGGCAGATCTGATACATGATTTTGTATGGAGAGATACAAATCTTTCTGTAAACTGTACACCATATCACAGGCTTATTTAAATGAGGATATTTCTTTGTATTTTGACATCTGTTCAAAGGGATCTGCTAAGTGTGTATTTTGTTTGTTTGTTTCAGACTCAATGCAGTGCAGTGTAGAGCTTTAACATGTCTTCAGAACATTTTGTTAGTGTCAGACATGGATTGTCTTGGAGGAGCTTCACTTCAGTCCATTGCACAGCATCTCTTGCAGCTAGTCTTTGCTAAAATGGGTAAGATGTTCAGTAAAGAGGGCTTGCTGACCCCCTTTAAACTTACAGATATAAGGCAGCCATGTATGTTGTGCTGTTTTAATGCCATTTTATTAGTAAGTTTATCCCTTCAGCATTTCAGAGTAAGCATACTGAATGTCAGAAGACTGCTGACAAAACAGTGTATCCTGATAAGATCTGTTTATCCAAATTGCATCCTGGGCAAGTAGGCTTCTAGTACAAGAATTTGCTCTACATCTGTTTGCATGCAGCAAGTTGCTGTTAGTGGATGAATTCTGCCTTCATGTGAGACCTGAACTCTTTGCTTGCTCATATTTGTGGTAATAGCAGGTTTTCGTCAATCAGACAAGCCATGAAGAAGATGGGATGTTTTCTTCTTAAGTGTGCTAACTAGCCTTAATAGGCATGGCAGGGGGGGAAGGGAAACCAGCAGTCTTTCACCTTTCTTTTTTTTTTTTTTTTTTTTTTTTAATCTTAAGAAATTAGGGCAATGGAGGGTGTTGCAAAAATCTCTAGAATGTACATGCTTATGACAGTAGGAAATAAAGCAGCTGCCTTGTCTCCAGAATGTGCTTTATGCATATGATTGCAGAGCTTTACTGGAAATGTGTTTGTAGTAAGAAAATGTGCAAAGTTTTTATGACTAAATACTGAAGCTGCTCAACTTCCTGTTACAGTGGTGGCTTGAGTTCAATGGAGAAGGCAATAAATTTAGTTTTCCTAAAAATACTATTTTTGAACATCAGATACATCCTGGTAAATACTAGAATACATCCACTGTAGTTCTTCCAAGGCATGTTATTTCATAGGGACACTGTGATGGTTTCCCCGTACATCCTCTGGTATTTGTATTATTGGATAGTTTAGTGTATATAATCCACTATCAAGATAGTCTAGATAGTTGGCATTTCCTGCTGCCTCCTGTAATCTACACGAGATCAGCATCCTTCCAGTAATACTGTAGGACCATTTATGCTATGATCATTGTTACTGGCACTAGAGAAGTTGAACTGAGATTCAAAAAATAAAATAAAATTAAAAAGGCAAAAAACCCCAAACCCTGGTTTAAAGCTGATGACCCAGTTCCCTGGCAGGCTGCTCCATGCAGGCTACTCTGACAACCTGTTTTTGTTCTAAGGTCAGTGATGATGGCTCAATCCTAAAAATTGTCAGAAAACGTTTAGGAAAACTGTTAGGAAACAGTTCTGTTGTAGTCTAACATATGCATGGATCTTACAAGCCTGAGAAGCTCAGTTTTCTCTCCTTCCTTCAGGTATCTTCATTTGTAGCCACAAACGAGGTGTATATAGTTTTGGTTTGTTGTAGCATATACTATGATACTGCATTAACGCCTGAAAATCCATCTGCCTGCAAAACATGCTTTACTTTTTTTTTTTCCAATGCCATTAAAAGCATGTGACCAGTCTATGAGAACATTTATTACTGAGTGCATAGTGCTTGAAAAACTAAAATACAGGAAATGGAAATAAATATTAAGACATGTGCAAAGAAGTTCACCTGTTATGTTTGTCTCATGCTAAAAGAGGGGTCAGTTATGCTTCGCAATAGTCAGTTCTTAGGTGAAACTGGAGAAGTGGCTACCTTAAGACAAAGGGTGCCAATAAATTAGTTTAATGGCCCAGGTGCCTTTTTGTTAGCATAATACTTTTTTAATAGTTAAATGCTATGTAACGGGAACTGCCAGATAGAGTTGATAACATATCAAGATGTGGTTAGAAGAAATGCTGTGGTTTACAGGGTGAAAAAGAGGCATAAATACCAAGTTGCATATATGGGAAGGGAGGAGATATGCGTGAAATCATCAAGAGGTTCTGCGTCTGGAGTGGTCCAGAAAATAAGAACACACTGGGGATAAAGAAAAAGCTTCAAGAAATGCAGAACATGTATTGAAGATGATGGCTTGTATTGATGAATTTGTAGTTAAAAAAGAAATATGCAGTGTATGAGTCATATATTTCTGAAAGGTTATTAAACCACCAGAAAACATGCTCTTTATATGAATTGTCAGGAGTCCAGCATTCTGGGTGCCTAAAAAGCCTGCTTAGGAAACAGAAGAAAGGCATTAAAATACAGAGTCAGTTTCTGTAGCTTTCTTAGTTCCGGTATGATGGCTTACATGTGATAACCAGTTTGCAAACCTCTGTTCTGATGGCAGTGGTTTGTGCAATATGTGTGTCACACAAGTGTCTTAACCAAGGATATACCTGAAAGTGAGGACCAACTGTGATATAACTGTCAGATGCAATTAATACTGAATTCAAACAAATCACAATGGTTACAACCTACAAAGACGAGTCTCTGAAAATCTAGCTCTTCCTGTTTGCGGTACTACCTGCAGGGACAATTAAGGAATTTGTATTTCTTTGCTTCTCATGTTCTTCATCTTACTGTTTAACTTTTGGCTCTGGGTTCAATTCTTTGACAGAACTCCCTACAGACACAGAATTCCTAGAAGCCATAACTAGTGCTTTGAGGGCTCTCTTACAAACAATGGCATCAAAGAACATCTCCCAGGTAAAGGCTTTCAAACTCAAATGCTCTGGTAGGCACAAAATCATGTGAGACTGTGCTGGAAAGTTTTTGAAACAAGAACATTTGAAGTTCTAAATTACAGCAACTGTGAACACTGAAAGAACAGTTTTAACAGCATTCACTCTCATATTTTTTTTTTATAGACCTTACAGGAGTATTTTTTTTAATGTATCTCTTCCTTAACATGTAAACAGATGAAAAGTATTTCAAAACCAAAATAGCAATGATCCATAGGTGTTCTCTTTAGAAGATGGACATAATGACAAGCATTTTGTAAATTAGCACCTAGAAAAGTGGATTCTTTATTTCCTGAGTCATCCAGTTGAATCTGGTTGTCTTTCTAAAATCTTGGTTGGGCATGAATTAATGAACTAAATATAGGAATGAAGCCTAATAGTTTATTATACAAGGCGTAATACTAGATGTTGTGGGGGTCCTTTCTGGCTGTAAACTGAAAAACGAGATTCTGTAAGTTGTAATGAGTCGGAGAAATAGGTATTGAGCTAGGTAAATCTGTTAAAATTCCTGTAGGCTCAGAACGTTTTCCTTCAGCTTCATGACAGCCTTGGTTATGTTCTGGAACACCTTAAGAACTTGAAAGGGAGAGTTTAACTGTGTTCTTGCTAATTACATTTTCAGAATTAACATTTTGGTAATACAGGACTCTGCAAATGATCTAAATGTCATATTTGAAAATTTCCATGAAAACGTAAATGTGTCTGTCTTATTTTATTTTTTTTTTTCCCCCTACGCTCCCCTTGTTAAGCAGTGTATGAGTCCTGAGCAGCTATTGTCTTTATGTGAAGCTGGCATGGACAGCAGCAATGCCAGTGTTAAAATGAATATAGTGAGCATCCTTGGAATTTCTGGCAGCATCCTGGCAAAAGGACAAGATACAGCTGAAACGCTAAAGGTAAAAAAGCAAAATTGGCATTGCAAGCCTAAACCAGTTTTAATACTTCTTTCAATTTTCTTAAGCACTGCTGGAAAAACAAATCTATTTTTTTTCTTATTTCAGGTGATTGGAAAATTTCTTCTTGAGGTTGCTATGAAGGAATCTTCTCTTGTGGTAGCAGGGGAAGCCTTGGATGCACTTTTTGACGTATTTGCAGATGGTAAAGAAGCAGAAAAGGCGGCAGTAGAGATCAGGTTGCTTCCAGCCCTGAAAGAATTTCAGCCAGTATTCAAAATGAGGGTAAGCATCAAATGCAGGCAGCTCAGGGTCTCGACACAGTGTAGGTTGAAGATTTAAGCAGGAATGTATGGATTTACAAGATGAATATAAAAAAACCCAAACTCGAACAACAACCCCACGTAATTGAATTCCTGATATTTCTCTTTAGAAGAAAGCAAATACACTTATCTTGAAGTTTGTGGAACCATCAAGGTAACAGCACAACATCTGCATTGTAACATCTGCATTACACCATCAGTATTACTGATGTCCAAATCACTGTATTGTTCTGAAACCCTTGTAAAAAAAAAATGCTGCAGATGTCTCTGGAGGAGAACAGCTAAATTGGTGGGGGAGAAGTCCCTTCTGAAGTTACATGTTTTGGTTATAACTTGCTGTAGCTGCCGGTGGGCATTTTTGTTCTGATGGTGGTTAATTAAAATAGATCAAGTATTCTGTGTTTTTCATGAATCACAAGGCCAAAATTCTAAACTGTAATTGTAAGTACATCCTTGTCTTAAATAGGCATTGATCTTTGATACGTTGTTTCTTTAGTCAAATGAAGCCTAAGGAATTACTTTAGTAATCTTAAAGCTAAGCACTGTACACACAACATACATAACTGACAGTGCTACAGTTGTTTGGTTAGTTATGTGCAAGGCCTTTCACATAAAAAGCTACAGAAACTAAGTGTACATTTCAGATTATGAAATAGCATACCAACAATGGTGTAGTTTTAAGCAGAGATGTATAATGTCAGTTGACCTGCAGAAAGAAGTGCTACCTGTGCATTTGCACACGTGAACATATTGGAGTTCTCAAGGGGCATCTGTAGCATGTATGTAGAACCATACAGAATTACTGTAAACTTTAGGTAATAGAGTAGGAGAAACTTCTCCATTAATAAAGTGTGTATTTCTTGGTTTTGCAGATGCGAAAAGAAGGCAAAGGAAAATATAGTACAGATCAGCTGTGTGTTCTTGACAACGTGAAGATGAACTTGAGAAGATTCATTGCATATCAGGAGACAATAGGGAAAAGTCCAACTTGCAACAACGACGAACTTTAAGGTTTCCCTTACTGAGTAACATTTTCCAAAAATAAAACTGTTTGGAACTTCTAAAATTTATCAAGCAGAGAAGTTTTCATGTTAATAGTGCAATTTTTTACATTTAATATTTTTATGCTTCTGGCTTGATGCAATACGAAAGTCACATCAGTGTAAAAAAACAGTGTACTTTGAGATTTAAGTGTTGGCACTTAAATCTCAGTAAGGATTCAGTAGGATACCTTTCTGCTGTGGAAATCAGTGTAAGAGAATCCTACATTTATGCACAGCTCGCTGGTTTTACCTTTATATTGATTTGTAGTTATGAAAATCAAGTCTCCTGACTTCCTTCCTTCCTTGTAATTCTGCATCAGGATGAATTTGAATCCAGGGAAGTAGTAAACCTAATAAAAAGGTGTTGGTTTGGGTTTTTTTTTGTTTTTATACTGCTGTATTATCTAACATAACTCTATAAATCCTTGAAATATCTTTCAAATATTTGTAATAGAGATTTTTAAGCTGTAAAATACAGAAACTATTTTAAAAATGTCACTGATTCATGAAATTTGTATGTGTACTGCCATGTATAAGAGCTTTGATGTTGTTTCTGTGAACGAGATCCTCTCATACACATTTTTTTAATGGGGAAAAAAGCCCACAACAAAACAAACACTTTTTGTTATCCTGATTTTTGAAATGTGAGATTCCCCCCCCCCTTCTCTTAACATGCTGTGTTAGCACAGGCATCTAGTTTTTTGGAAAATTTTGCCCATGATGTTATGCATTGAAAAACAAAGACCAAATTTGCCTGGTTTGTTAGATTTCAGTCTCTTAGATCAGAAGGCAGGCTCAGGAGCTGCCTGGATAACTTGCAGATTACTGACTTTATGAAATCTTGACTATATGGTATTATTATGAAATGCAAGGGAAAGTGCAAAATAAGTTTAAGCAGCTGTGCTGCCTGGGAGTCCCATTACTGCTAGTACTTCACAGGAGTTGCATGAAACATGTGATGTGATGTGATGCCTGCTAATCAAATGAATGAGTGAGAGTGGTGTTGGGAGGGCTCAGGGACCATTGAGCCTGGCCTGGAGAAGTCCAGGAGAAGTGTGGAGCATGGAGCAGTTGAAAGGTTATCCTGGGATTTGACAGGGGCTGCAGTGAAAAGGGCTGGAGTGTAACAGCTGAGGAAGAAGTAGCTAAGTGGGTTATGGTATAAGACTGCACCGTGCGTGGATTTTAATCCTTGTGTTAGTTATACTTGCTGTACACTGAAGATATACTATTAGCCTGATACAAGGTATTCATATTATATTTGTTTGGAGCACTTAACTGCTTTCATTTTCTGGGTGCTGCACTGAATTGCAGGAGAATCTAAATTGGAAAGGATGTCTGGAGGTTCCTTACTCTAGTCCGCTGCTAAAGCACGACTTTGGAGTCAGGAAGGTTGGGCTAGGGCTTGAGCATCTCCAAAGGTGGAAATCCTTTAACTTTGCACAGCTGTTTCCAGTGCTTGACTGCCTTTGCTGTGGCACTTTTTTTTTCACCTATGTATACTTTTTAGGACTTCCCTCTGCTGTAAAATGTGCCCCTTGTCATTTGACGGCACAGCACCAGCAAGAGCCTGGCTCCATTTCTTCTTATCACCCTATTTGCTAGTTGAAAACAACAGTTGCATTCACCTCTTCACACTCAGTAAACGTAGCTCCCTCAGCCCTTCCTGGTACATCATGTGCTTTAGCACTCTGTCTTCGTGGCCTTCTGCTTAATATGCCCAACTGTGTCTTGTAATGGGGGACCCAAAACTGGACACTAGGCACATGAGATCAGTGGATGTGATCTCGTGACTGCTGAAAAGAGGAAAGTAATCAGTTTTCTTGACCTTAAGTCTAATTAAATTTTGTTTCTGTATTATTTTTGTAAGTTCCTTATTTCTGTGAGGCATTTTGTCAGACATAGTTCAATTGACCACATAAGAACATAGTTTGAGATACACACAAAGGATAAGACACTTTTCTTTCCAGTCTGGGTGTCAGGAGCTCCTTGCGTTACTGTTACATAAAGGGCTTAAATCAAACTGCTTGTGAACAGCAATAAGATCCTGCTGTAATTATCTGTACACTGCCAGAACGACTGTGCCTGGTATGTGCTCTCAAAACAACAGAGGCTCCTGATGCAGTTGTGGGGTTGCAAGGAGCTCACATAAATACCTATACTTGCTTTCAGAGATGCACTGGCATTTCAGTATACCTTCTCCAGGCTTTGTGTTCCTTTGCTGACAAAAGTCCTGGTGATGATTCTTTGTTTCCTTCTGACATGTGGGGGGTATTTTTAACTTTAAAGGAGAATTGCACTGGCCCCTTCCCTCCTGCCCTATATCTCTTGATGGAGAGTAAAAGGCATTTCCAGAACTTAACTGAAAAATGGCTGATTCAACTGGAAAGTGCATGATGTTTCTAAATGACCTTTTCTGGGAAGTTCCCGTTTTAGTAAGTAAAAGAGTGAAAGTTCAAAATCATGATATAAAAAAATCATACTGACCATTTTGTTGGCTTGGATGGGGGGGTGCCTTTTTATTATTTTTCATTTTTAATATCCCATAGGTGTACTACTTTATGTGGCTATAGAGCCATTGTATTGTCTATTTTATATGGGTCTGAATCATGGGTCATCTACTGTCATCACCTGCGGCTCCTCAAACGCTTTCAGCAGCGCTGCCTCTGTACAATTCTAAACATCCATTGGACTGACTATGTGTCTAATGTCACTGTCCTCAAACAGGCAGGGGTCACCAGCATCGAGGCCATATTGCTGAAATTGCAGCTGTGCTGGGCAGGGCACGTCTCTAGGATGAAGGATCACTGCCTCCCCAAAATCGTGTTTTACGGTGAACTTGCCACCAGTAGCCGCAAGAGAGGTTCCCCAAAGAAGAGATAAAAGGACTCCCTGAAACAATACCTTAGCCTTGGCCATACTGACTACCATCAGTGGTCCGCCTTGGCTTCCAATCGGGAGACTTGGAGGCACACCATACATAATGCTGTTGACTCCTTTGAGAGTTTACGAAGAACTAGCCTCAAGGAGAAAAGACAACGCAGAAAGAATCGCGCCCCACCTGTACCACCCAAGGAGACCTTCTGCTGTGCTTTTTGTAGCCGGAGTTGCCTATCACACATTGGCCTTCAGCCATCAGCACACATGTAGTAAGCGTGGGCAAAGCCCTTCCTAAATCTTCATTCGCGAAGTCAAGCCATGTCACTACTTTATGTAAAGCCTTTCTGGTACTACACCAACATGTTGTGTCCTGGCTGTATTTGCTTGGGACTAGGGGTTGCTACAGAGGAATTGTTAAATTAATAAGCCTCAATCCAACAACACTTGTTTACATTTACATTCTATGGGTGTAGAACAAATAATTGTTTTTTGAAGGATTAGGATTTGGTTTGTTTTTTTTTTTTTCCCATTACTGTTATTTCCTTACGGATAACATAAGACTTATGCTCACTTTTCTGTGCTGTGTTTAAAAAAACCCTGAAGTTTCTGAATTTAAAATGTTTTATTTGCATCTGTGGTGTAAAAGGAACATCAGGCTAGTCATTTCTAGTTGCCTTTTCTGGTATGTTCATAATTCTCAGAATAATCGAAGAATGCGGGTTTTGGAAAATAGGGCTATTCAGGATGTTTCTTCTCCAGTTCCAAGTGCTTAAATTCAGCCAGCTTCTATGTGGCTTTTGATGGTAGTTTTATGGACAGACCCTAATTCTCAAAGGCAAAAGATTTCAAACTCCAGAACCAGATTTCATCCTACATCTTGTTCCTGGGTTTCTCTTGGAAAGTAGACATCAAGCACCCTGTGACAGAACACGAGAGGGATCAGAGCAACATGTCCTGCTCTGGGATGGTGGGGAGAAGCCAGAACTTTAATCCTTGGTTGTCACCAGGAACTGGTTTTAAGATTTCTTTGCAAACCGTCTACTTCATGCAATACTTTGAATTGAAATGTGACTTTTTTATTCCAAAACTTCCATCTTCCTAAGGAGAAATTCTTTCCCATGCAGTTCTTAAACTGTGGGAAGCTCCAGACCCTCCATTCAGCATGTTAGAGACTTTCTAGCTGATACCAAAGATGTTTTAAACCTGTAGTATGAAAACACTAAAAATAAACCTGAACCTGACCAGAACCTGTACTACTAAAAGTTGCTGTTTGCTGTGTTGTTAACATCGCTACCTGCAGAAGCGTTGGCTATGCAAGTATAGCGCTTAAGCTATTTTCCCCTCTCCTATGAAGTTGAATGAAAGTCAGAAGGACCCAGAAGTATCCATAACCATCCCCAAAATACTTTTACGGGAGTGCAGCGGCAACTGATGGTGTACGAGAAGGGTAACGCGACCGCACAAGAGGCAGTGTACCAGAGCGCGTTTGGTCTGGTACGCCTCATACTCTTCTCTGGTGTAATGCAACAGAGGCACAGTGACCGAAACGGCATCCCCCGAAGCGGTGCCGGACCCCGCGGCCACCCCAGTCCGGCCTTCCCCGCCGGCCCTGCCCGGGCCCCCGGCGGGGTTGGGGTGCGCGGCGGGTGCCCACGCAGCGCCGAGGGCTGGGCCGGGACCAGGGCGGTTCCGCCGCGAGAGGAGCAGCTGCTGCGGCCCGAGAGCCGCCCGGCCAGGCTGAGGCGCCAGGGCAGGCCGGGTCCGCCCTGCAGCTGCCGGGCCGGGGCAGAGCAGGAACCCGCCTGCAGCACCGCCCGGTCTGGCCGCCACCGCCCCCCACTGCCTGCGCGCGGCCTGTGTGCCGGAGGCCCAGCCGGGCCCCGCCTCGCCGCGCTCGCCAGGAGGGGCGGGGGCTGTGGAGCGACGGCAACGAGCAGGCAGGCGCGGAGCTGCCCTTCTATAGAAGCCGCCATTAGCGCTGGGACCCGGTGACAGGGTCTCGGCGTCGGCGGCCGGCGGGGCGCGGGGAGCGAAGGCAGCCGGGGTGGGTCCCCGTTTGATGGATCCCCGGATAGCCTGGTTCCAGCCAGAGCAGCTCGGCCCCTCGAACCGCCTGTGGATGCAGATCTGGGAGACCACGCAGGGGGTCCGCAACCTCTACTTTCAGCAGCAGCAACAGCAGCAGGAGCACCAACAGCAGAGCGCCCCCGCTGGGGCCGGCCCGGCCTCCCCGCCCGGCATGTACCGCGCCCCCCGCTCCGACCCCCAGCCCGACTTCCTGCCACTCGAGAGCGCCAACAACCAACACAACCGCAGCCACCACCAGGCCTCGCCGCCCCCGGGGGCCGCCGCCTGGGCCCGGCCCGCACGGGGGGGGCCGCCTGCTGCCGCCGCCGCGGCTGCCAGCAACAAGAGGAAGCGCGACAACAAGGCCAGCACCTTCGGGCTCAACTACAGCCTCCTGCTGGGGCCCCCCGGGCAGGGCCGGGCCCCCGTCCTGGGGGACGAGCCGGCCGCCCGGGCCCAGGCCGGCCTGGCCGAGCCGCTGTACACCGGCACCCCCTGGAAGAAGAGGAACTACAGTCAGGGAGTCTTGGGGTGAGCGGCAGCGGCGCTGGGCCGGAAGGTGGGCGGGCGGACGAGGGGGCGCGGGGCCTGGCCCCGGCCTGGCCTCTAAAGGAGGCGGGGGCCGAGGCCCTCCCCGCCCCAGGGCTAGCGTACGGGGCGGCGGCCGAGCCGCGGTGGGGAACGCTGGGCCGCGGCACCTGAGGCGCGGCGGCGGTGGGGTGCGGTCCCGGGCCTGGCGGTTGTCTTGGGGGGGCCGGGCCGGGCCCACGGGGCGCCGGTGGCCGCCGGCGGGGGCAGGCAGGGGCCGCGCGGGCCGGGCCGCTGTCCCGCCTGCCCGTCCGCGGCGTGAGGAACCGCAGCCCGGCCCCGCTGGTGCGCAGCGGCAGGGCACCCCCTCGTGCGGCCCTCGGGCCGCGCCGGGCGGCAACTCCTCTTGTAGGGGGCAGCGGGTGCCCGGGTGCGGCTGTCCGCGGTGACGGGAGCTCCTCGCCTGTTGTCACCCCGTGTGCACGTGTGGCTGTTACACGCGCCTCTCCCGGTACCGCGCCATGCTGCCCAGCACAGGTGTTCCTCTGCCGCCCTGCTGCTCTGCGGTGGTTGTGCTGGTGGTGGTATCGGAGAGGGGTCTGATGCCAGTGCTGCACAGGCACGTGTTGCTGGGCCGGGTGAGGCTGGGGAGGTGGCTAAGCTTGGGAGGACAGCAGGACAGCGAGCAGCACGCTGTCAGCGGTGCAGGTCGTGCCTGCCTGCCCTCCGCAGCCTCTGCTGTGCAAGCTTCTGGAGCTTTGTGTTGTGTGTGGAACAAATGTGTAGTAGGTGTTATAACTTAAAAAAACCCGCCATTAATCTGCTGCTGCTGAAAGAAAGTGCACAGTCTAGGAAATTACATGTGTTTTCTGAGACCTGACAGAGAAGGTAGGCACACAAAATTGTATAGGGTATTACGGATTTCAATATGGGATTATTAATGGTTTTCATGGATCTCTGACTGTGGAATGTGTGATCTAATATGAGTATTTTCCCCATAGTGTTTTTGTGTTAACTTAGGTCTTGTCAGTTGGGCTTGCATGACCCACAGAGAGCGAGGGCAGGCAAACATGTATTTTCTGTTTGCCTGAAAACTCTTATAAGCCCTCTCTCACCACTCTTTTTTAAAGACAGGATGGCTTTTGACGTGAGTGATGCCCTGGATAAACACAATTTGGCAACATCTGTAACTTTGTCTCCCCCATCTCTGCAGCAAGAGCACTCTGACATGTGTTTGACCCATTCAGTATGGGCATCTGGGGTGGTGTGTGCAGATGTAATACCCTTTCCAGTCCTGCTCTTTACAAAGAAGTCTGGCTTGGTTCCAGGGTTCAAATTGTGGAGGTGTTCAAGTAGCGAAGGCCCATAAGAGCTCGTTTTAGAAATGGGTAATGATTTGGGTATGTTAGCTTTTGTGTGCCCAGCTTGTACCTAAGAGTCCTTAAGCCCCCTCCCACTGATCTCTTTGCCTTCCAAAATCACCCTTCCGTAGGATTTGTCAAAATGACTGTTCAAATTTGGAAGACAAACTCTTACCACCTCTGGCTTCCTGTTTTCTTGGCATGTTACCTTTACTGCTGGGACTCTCCAATGTTACCTTTAGTGCTGGGGTTATAGTAATTCCTAAAATGACACTGCAGAAGTGTGCTATTTTAAGTTCTGTAGCCACTATACACTGAAACCTTCCCTAACTTTCTTCACGTATCTTAAAAGTACTGTGTGCAAAACAGAGTACTGAATTTTTGTAAGTTAGTTTTTGGACTCTGTATCTTCCAGCTTGTCGCTTATTTACTTGAAGGTAGAGGAACATTTTTAGAAGTGCCTTTTGCTCTTCCTCTCTTGTCTTGCAAATCCAGAAACCTTTTTCCTTTACTGAAGGAATGGGGGGAGACAGGGGAAAAGGGTGAAATTCAGTAAGCGATTAATAACGATGATGATAATAACAGCAACTGTACCAAAGTATCCAAGATGATGTCTGTTGCTAGAGTAGAATTTCGGCTGAGTCAGTTTTAAAGTCCAAGTGGAAGCACCTTGTGGACTTTTGTTTTTCTTCTTTTTTCTTTTTTCTTTTTTTTTTTTTTGAGTAGTATTGAAAAGCACTCAAATATGTTACATGGGTCTACATTTGGCTTGACTGTCTGGTTTATGGCATATATTTACATGACACTGAGGCTCTGATTTAGCTATTTCCTTTGTTCAAAACAGGGTAAGGTAGAATGTCTCTAAAGATAGGCTCCTACATTGCTTTTCCTAAATTGTGGAAGTGAGTGGTGTTTGCTTCTAAAAAATCTATTTATTCCAAAGCTATTTAGAGACAGCTGGCTAACAGTCTTGAATGAAGAATTGTGAAAACGATTTCTAAAAGGATCTGAAGCTTCTTAGGAAAGCATAGGAGGTCCTTAACTCTTGTGACCGACTGGCTGCTGGTAGAGCCACATGGAAGCCTCCACTGTCATTGCCTGCAGTGTGCACTGAGATGCTGCCATCACTCCCGCGTATGAGTTCTGTTTCATAGCTGTCTGCTGTGAGATGTCTGTCTTGGCTCTTGAGACACCAGGCAAGAATGGTGGATAGAAAGGTTTGTAACCTAGCTAATGAGGTTGTTGCCAAAGTAAATATTAATTATTTCCAACATGAATTCCCAAATTTGTTGTAACTTGTTCTAACAATTATTGGGGAAAAAAGATACCCGCAATTCTATTACGGCATTAATTGTGTGATAACAGGTACCTTTTTCCCAAATTGCTTTGATGCAAATTGTGAAAAATAGTAAAGCCCCTCAACACCTTTCACTGTACCATCCTGTAATTTTGTTCAGTTAATGACTTTAAATTTAGAGTCTTTTGAGTAGGCAAGTGTTGTGGAACAGTCCCATTTTCAGAAAGACTAGGCCCGACTTGCTGGCAAATACAATTGAATGCTGACATGTGGCATTCATATTTCCAGGGCAAGGATGTCACTTCTGTGCATGGCTATGCAAAACAACTCAGAGTACGCAATTATATTGATCAGGTGTGTGGAAAAAACAGTCCAATAAATTTTAGCTAGTTGGACAGTTTATGTAAACATATAACAGCTGTCTGAAGAGTTAGGTAAGGTAAACATGTTGAAATAGTGGAGTTTTTTGTTGGAAGATAAATATCTATTCAGTGAAATCTGTTGGGTTTTTTTCTTCTCAGGTTTTGTGTATTTATTGAGAAACAGTACTTTCTTGGTTAATGATATTTATATAGACAAAGAGATAACCAAATAATTAACAAATGACCTGCAACAGTATTGTTTTTGATTTCAATACAGGTTTCTTACAAAGAATGCGCAATATTTGCCGACATTTACCATGAATGCTGAGCTACTGACATTCAACAGGTGGCCAGTCTTACAGAATTAATGGTGCTATTGTATGCATTGTATTCTGGCCTGTTTTAATATGTTCCCTTATTATAATTTTTCAGATTTACAGTTCTGTTAACAATGTAGGTGTTTGCATTACAGGTACTCTGCTTTGTTCTAGCACTCTTAACTTTGTGACTTCTGAAATACCACTGTAAATCAGTTGTCAAGTGCTGCCTGCAAGTTGTTTTGCACCAGTTGGATTCAGCCTGTGTATCTTGCATCCCCTCTGGGGACTTTGTCAACAGACAGTAATGCTAAAAAGAACAGATAACACAGAAAATGGATGAAGAGTTTACAGTATGCATATGATGGTACTGGTGACTTAAACCTTCAAAGAGTTTAATGGGATTTACCTTGATGAGGTCCTTGGTAGCAAAACTCAAGGATGTAGAAGGATGTGTGGGTTGGGGTTTTGGAGGGGATGCTCTGTGTGTGTGTGTCCCAAGGGTAACAGTAAATAATGTCAGTAGTATCACGGTTAAAAAGGAAGAAAAAGGTTTTTGGAATACTGAAGGGGCTGTTTTACAACTTTCACCAAGTTTAGACTCAGCCAGCCTAGCTAAAGAGTGACACAAGAAAAATGGGTAAAGCCAGAAGCCTTAAGGGTAACAAAACCCGAAAATAAAGACTTGCATGTAAGTTTGGCCTGTCTTCTTGTAGATTTCTGTGATTCTTGTGCCAAAGGAAAGAGTCTAGTTACTGCACAGTTCCCAGGTAGGAGCTGTAGATTTTGGACTCTCCAGGGAGCTGTTTAGTTTTTACAGGAATCTGCAGCCAAAGGCAAGCTACCCAATTAATATGTGAATTTAAGGTGGAAAACCTGCCATGTGTACTCCCAAGGAGGAAGACGGGCTAAAGAGAAGACAGTGCATTTTGAAATATTGAATGCATGCATTTTTGAGGTACTGATGGGAACTTTGCCGTAACAGGGAGAGAATATTGTGACCTCAGAGGAGGGATGTGCGTGGACACACACACACATGTGGGCTGCTGAATTGGTTGGCGTGGAGTTGAGCAGGTTTCAGCTTTTTTGATATAAGGGTTCCCAGTATGTTGCCCAGGATTACAGAGGATACCATGAAATAAAATAACTACTTTAGGAAGTAAATAGCTTAAAGCCATGTGTCTTTGCTACAGAAATTCTATTTTTTTATTATTTTTTTTTTTTGGAAGAAGCTGAGTATATTAATGCAGGCACAAGCTCATTCTCTGCAGGCATTGAGCTGATCAGAGGGCATGCAGTTACAGTAACACAGCTGCCTGCCTGAGATAACTTAACCTGTGAGCCTTTAGCTCGTTTGCTCAGGTCCTTGCATGGTATCAGCCACAGTGGCATTATTTCTGTGTGGGCTGGAGGGTGAACAGAAAGAGTTGAGTGTAGTGGGAGCAGAGCAGGTATGTATACCAGTAGCAAGCATCTAGCCAGACTGAATGCCTAACTTAGGGAAATCAGATAAAATCCTAATCAACTGTATTGTTTTCTCTGAGGTGCTTAAATCAAATGCATGAGTGGTGTTTGATTTCTGTGGCATTACTGGATAAATAAATGATACAAGCACTTTTGTGCGCAGACTTATTTCTGGTCAAACAATGAGGCGTGTGCATAACTT